TTTTTTTTTTTTTTGGCAAACTTTTTTGTTTCCCAAAAAGGGTGCTTCTTTTTTTTGTGTGTTTTTTTTTTCCCCCCCCCCCCCCCCCGCCCCAAGCATGGGATGATTTATAGATTGCTCCTTAGATGAGATGAATTATGTTTATACATAAGACAAGTGATGCTATATTATTTGAGTAGATTAAGATTGTCAGATTGCAGATACTAATTTCATACATTTTCATTTTTTGTAGCCACTGGAAGCTGTCAAGAAAGTGGTGGCTACAAGAAAAGCCAATGGAGAAGCAGCACATCTCAGCTGTATACGACTGGATGGTCAATATTTAATTTGTGCTGGGTCTAAAAATGTACATGTCCTCATTCGAAACAGAGGTCAGTAGTTTCAGTTTTTAATGTGAACCGATCAGGTGTTTTATTCTTTGTGCAAAAATTAATGCCCCCTAAAGAATCTCCCAAAATGTCTGTGCACTATTTAATAAGCAGAATATATTATTTACTGATGGAGTAAAACTATGTACCGGTGCACAAATAAATAGAAATGAAATTCTTCTCACAATTTTATAACTTGAGTCTTCAGAAAGTTCTAGCCTAGAAATTAACTATCACTAATTTGAACATATTGTGAAGATTATTGATGTCATAGAGTAAAAAAAAATAACTGCAATGCCATAATTAAGTTGACTTTCACTTTCCAAGGTGATATATCATTTTATAGAGGTGATAGGTACAGAATAGCATCTGAAGTGTGTCACTCTATCATGGATTTACTTGAAGAGATGACCCCAGCACAAAAAGACAGGTATGTGTAGTGTATAAGTATAAATATTTTGTGTTCTCAAGCCATATGCATGAACTAAAATTGAAGCCCATTTAACTGTTATAATTTATGGTTAATTCTACATTGTCTGTTATTCTTTCACTTCCAGGTTGCTCAGTTTTCTAGTTGTCTCAAGATTTACTGCAGTGTTTGAAATATTGTCACCCGCACATCAACACGTTGAGAACCTTAGTTACTTGACCAAGTAAATATCCAATTTCAAGCTCTGCTTTCTTTTGTTGTGTGTTGCTACCAGACTTGATTGATTTAATTATTATTACTGTGCAGTAATATGGTGCAAATGTGGTAACCATATTCCCCATCTTTAATACACTTAAAAATCTCTCTAAGGCCTAATAAATTTATTCAGAGTAATAAATGAAAAACTTTCATTTAATTAAATATAATTTTTTAATCAGACCGGTTGTCCAGTTTATAACTTGGACTTCCACAGAGCTTGAACCCATGCCTGACAAGCAGCTATGTACAGTTCCACCACACATAGGCATTCAGGTAAATCACTAACAGTGACATCTTTAGAACACATAATAATTAGGACATTTATAAATGTATATGTTAAGGTAAAGCCCTGGTTCCCAACGTGGTGCCTACACCCCACAGGGGGGCAATTTGATTGTTTAGGGGGGCAATTTGAAAAATGGGCTGTCTAGAATTTGAAAACCAACCGTCTTCTATGATATAACTTGTATTTTAAAAGAATAATCGCTCAAATCTCAATTTAAAATAAGCGTTCATTTAAAGTGTTGCCTAAGCCCTGCCAATGTACATACTGCCTGGATTTCACACTTTGGCTGTACTGTTAAAAACTAATACCCTGTCTTATAATGTTTGCATAGTTTTAGTTTTTTTGTTTTTTTTTAAATTTTTAAAACAGTCTCACGATCAATTTTGGGCTAAAAAGACATGTTTAAAAAAATTGCCACTTCATTTTATTTTAAAAAAAATTGATTTGAATGCCAGGTGATTGTATAATTCCATAATTCCCCAAGGGAAGAACAAAGCTGTTTTTCTGAAAAAAACAACAAAAAAAACAACAAATATGCAAGCAGTAAAAAAATTTATGGATTTATTTTGGGTAGGTTTCATAAGTAGATTTTTATAGCTGATAACACTTGCATATTTGTGCTACAGATAGCAAGAGCATTGGGCTTGAAGACTATTGATTATGAGGTCATTAGCAATACAGAGGTTGATGAAAGAATGAAACAGGTACTTACACATTAAATTAGATAAATCTTTTTAAAAAATTTGTTTTTTTATTTCTACATAGTGAAAAATGAAATATGCATTCAAAAAATGCCAAAGAGATTTCTGCAGGAGTGAAATTTGTTGATTCTAATATTTGGTTTTGAAATTTTAAAAAATTGTCCTCATTATTTTATATCACTGTTGAAAAAAATGAATGCAATCTAGTGCTAACCATGCCAAAACAATTTAAATTTTAAAATAAAAACCAAAGAATTTGTGTCATCACAGATTAGACAAGGCTACCAATATGAGGGGGAGGTGCTCTATTTTTTGGATGAGACTGACGTAGTGATTGGCCTACTTAAAAAGAAAACAGCTTGGTAAGATAATCTTATTCATTAATGAACAAGACTCAGGCAGTAACTTAGTGCATAGCATTTAATTCTGGCATTTTTTTTAATGGTTCAATGGCTATACTTTTTTTTTCATTAATAAATTTGTTTACTTTTAATTTGCAATAGAAGTGACAAAGATACTCTTTATTTGATAACTTAGATTTTAAACAATTGATGAAGTAAAGAGCTTAAAGGGATCATATTCTCTTACACTTACAGGTACATTCTTTGTCGGGCTATAAGGGAGAAGGCCAGAGCCAGTGCAGCTTCGTTGTTAAAAAACAGAAGTACTTTCTCTCTATCAAAGTCAATAAAACAGGTTAGTCACTTGAAGTGAATACATTTGACCATAATTCTTATTTAGTGAAAGCATTTCCTCTCGTGAAAAAAACAACAAAAAACCCAGTTTTATTTCTCTGCTTACTTTTCTCATTAAAATAAGTTAGAAGCAAAGCTACCTTTTAAAAATAGCAAAGCATAAGGAACCATCATTTCTTTTACACAAAGAAATTTTGACTTCACCAAAAAAAAAAAACCACCATGTTTAGTAATCTCCCCACACTGTCATGTGAGCAAAGCAAAGGAAAGTAGAATTCTTAGACACTCCTGCCCCCAACCACTCTCAAGAAAAATCCTATGTACTGGTATAGATTAGAAGCTGATCAAAGCAAAACAAAAAGCATGCATAAATAGTCTTGTGGACACTTAAACATGATATTAAATGATTATAGTATTTAAAGCCACCTTGAAAAACTATGTTTAAAAACAATATATATGTATAACCAGTACATAATTTAATTGAACAGGTGGAAAAGAGAATGGATGAGATTCAAAAGTGGCTGGGTCTCAGTGATCAAGTCAAGGACCAATGGAGGGTAAGATAAATTAAAAGATGATTGTCCAATCAAAATTCTCACGCTGTAAAAACAATTTTTAAAAAATTCCTAGCTTCCTGTTAAACAGCAGGTAAGATTTTAAGGATCAAAATGCTTCTTTGTCTAGCGTACTATTATCATATTTTATGTTAGACTCTGAACAATCTTATGTAGGTATTTATTATGAACAGGTGCCAAAAGCACTAAATTGTGGGGCAGAGTGTAGTGTTTGAACATTCCAGTTTTCATACACCTTTATTCTAATGCTGTAAACACAATCTGCAAATATAAACAAAAAGTTACAGCAAAAGTGTATTTGGTGAATGTTTTCTACCAACTCATGCAATAAATTTTTGTGAGGCTTTTTTAAAAATCTACACTCCAAATATCCTAACAGCAAAATAATTTACTCTATTTTAAATTCAGGATCTGGGAGTGTCCTTTATATCTTATTGTGTCAAACAACTAGAAAATGGTTACTATTCTATGGAGGATATTGCAGAAAGATTTCCAATTGTTTGGTGAGTCAAGCATAAACAATTTACAGCTGGTGCCAAAATTACCATCATGCATCTGTTTACTTATGCTTAAAATAAAATAGTTACAATGCTACTTGTGAAACAATTTTGGTGTTCAATGGATTTTTACTGCATACATGGACAGCATGTATAACTTAAACTTGTTAAAATAATTTCAGGAAAGATCATTTAGAAGCAAGTGGATTTAGTGATCAAATATTGGTTGAATGTACAGAGGAAGAAGACCCAAGTCCACTTGTAGAAGGAGCAGCAGCCTATTGAGCTTTTTACTGTTTAGGACTCATCAATATACTTGGCTTTGTTAATCCTTATGCAGACATTTAACCAGACTTAAAAAAAGAAATAAATCACAGGCTCTTTTATCTATTTTTTTTTGCCACCCATTTCTGCCATTAATACTTTGTTTAATTAGGAGCATATTCATGAAATTAGTCTGCTAAATTTTCATTCAAGATTATTTTCACAAATAATCAGCAAACCTTTTGACAGAGGAAAAAAAAAATACAACCTGAAGTCACATCTCTGCTTGAGCTTTATTGTTAGGGTGAATGAATAAGTTGAAAGGTTTCTGGTTATGAGACTGAAACTAATTTACATCCAGAAGCAGAATTTACACGATTGCATTATTGAATAGACCAAATTATGACTGAACTTAAATATGATTTTTAAAAAAATATATATTTATGGCAACCAAAATTTTATGGATTTTGTTTGTAATTGGTGTAGATATTTTTTTTGTAAATTGTAAAGTTGTTTATATTTCTACAAATAGAAACTATTATTACTTATTGGATGATGGTCAACTGATGTACTTATATTTGTTAACATTAAACACGTAATATGTACAAATATTTTAAAAAATTACTTTTGTCATTTTTGTTACTACAGCAGTAAGTTCAAGGATTGCATTACTCAGAAATATTTTTAATCTGATTTACATAAACAACCCTATGAGATGGCACATAATTATTTATATATTTCCCATTTTCTAATGGGGGTGGGGGGAATGATTTAAACTGTCAGCTTTAACTTTTGATTTCTATAATTAGTAATACTTGCAGTTCAAACTCTTAAAAGTAGCTTTATAACAATACAAACGAAACAAAAGACGTATAATTTCCTCAAATTTTAATTATTTCAATGAGGCAATGCATGGCAAAATGATATGAACAAATAAAAATTTAACTTGTTCAAGGAAGGTACAGTTTTGTCATATACGATTTTTAAACAATGAATTTTAACAATGATGCTGGCAAATACTTCCACACAAACACTTCCTTCAGGGATTATTTTTCTTTCAATCAATCATTGAAGGAGGATATAATAATCACCATTTTATAAACTGCTTTAATAAATATTTTCGTTAGCACTAATGTTAATATAATTAATTTAGGGGCTAATGAAAAAAAAAAAAAAACAACTAAAAAACCTCAATTCTGATAATTAAAATATAGAAGAATGAATGAATGAAAATATCACAAATGTAAGATAACTATTTACAAATGGTGTCTACTTATCATCCAGAATGGAACAGATAACATGTTACAGGCTTTCTGAAGGTAATTGAATGGGACAACCAATTAATTATTATTTTACTAATAGTAGATTCTACCTCTTAGCACTTTTTTTTCTTCGGTTTAAGTAACAAGCTTACCTTTCCATTCAACAAAAATTCAAATTTGGGACACCACAATGACTTTATTTAAACCATGTAGAACTTTTTTTCCCCTCAAGCTGGTACTGACACATTGTCAATAACCCATGCACAACGCCTCTTATGAGAATTTAACTAATAACAATTAGGGTTAAGAAATATGAATACAAATTGCCGTTCTTAAAAAATAAGATATTGGCTAATATTGGATAGTAAACATACATATAATTAATTTCACTCGTCATTCATCCCAAAAACTCATATTCACAACTGTTATATTAGATATATCATTATTTACTTGTTGACTTCTTGACATCTTTAGCATTCTTCTTGTCCTTACCATCTTTTTTATCTTTATCTGCACCTTCTTTTGCTGATTTATCATCAGCCTTTTCTTTATCCTTTTTCTCTTTGGCTGGATCTTTACCTTCATTCTTTTCTGCATCTCGGTTCTGAACCTGCAGGAGTTAAATAAATTGTCTAAATTTTTACAACAACCAATAACATATACCAAGAATTTATTCTTCAAACATTTAAGTGTGACAGGCCATAATAATTAGGGAAACGAGCTGAGGATCAATGTTCTTTGCATTTGATTTTAATTACTTTCTTGTGAATAGCTGGTAAAATGTCCAATAACAATAATAATTTGAAAACATTAAATAGTTTAATAGTTTCACAATAAATTTTCGTCAAAATTGATTAAACGAAAATAAATGTTGACCGTTAAAAAAATTGCAAGTAAATATGCTCTATATGTTTGCACACATGCTCTTTGAAATCCAACATTTCATGTTCTAATTTCATCAATATAATTTATATATTTCAATGTTAACAGCAACCTACTTTGTTGTTTATGAGATTATGTAAAGCCATTATAGATCGAACCAAGGATGCCAAATAAACAACACTCATCTGATCATTTGTGCTAACGGTCAGAGAGTGCACCAACTCTGGGACTCCAACGTCAGGAAGCAAATTAAACACATCCTGTAAAAGAAAACAAACAAGAAAAGCTTATACATTCACTTCTTATTCTTTGTACAAATATAAATTGGTATTAAAAACTCAGAGCTCAATTTCTTGGTATCACTTTCCTTTGTAGGCTGTGTGTGAATACAATTTACAGTTGTGTTAAAACTATATGAAATATTTTATGGAACCAAAGTTAAAAAAAAGTTGTATATTGTCCTGTTAGCTGAGGTGGTGAAGGCCTAATTAGTATTTCACCCAAAACACTTTCATAAAGAAAGTCTTTATTTCTCACTATTAATTTAATACATTCCTATAAAATTATGCTTTCATTCCATTTTTTAAAATAAATGCTATCATTCAGAAACTCATTTCCTTAGGAATTCATCTGAAAAAATTTGAGTTTTTATTCCTGCCAGTATACACTAATTTACTTCATTAATGCTTCAAGTTTATATTTTGTGGTAGATTGCCTGTGGCTGTAGTAGGATGAGTGCAAAGAAATTAATCAGCCTTTGATGAAAAAATATGAAAAATAAATTGTCAGTTTTCATTCCACATAGAGAAAGCTTTAAGATAATACAGTTGTTAAATTTTTAAAGGTGAGCTCCAGCTAGGTCAATATTAAATCTCAGCTTATTTCCACTGTATCCAAAGAACACATGTAATTAAAATGAAACTTAATTTTGTACATATATTTATATATATATAACATGTAAAAATATCTTAGTTAAAGAAATTGTTAAATTTAGTAATAATGTAAAAATTGTTGGGAACATTGTCCCAATACAATCATAAACAGCCAATTAAAGTTTAATCCTCTCAGTACCATAGTGTCCATAAAGAAATTACCTTCAGTACTAAGCAAAGGGAAATAACTCAATTTTGACATTAATTTAGCAAATTTAACTATTTTATTTTTTTAAAAACTATCTTCCATCCAGTCATAAATAAAATTCAAGAAATTATAGAGAAAATATGAAAATTTAATTAAAATAAGTCTACACTGGGACCAGTTACATATAAAATTCTTCAATGTCAATTGAACACAATTGGTTAGACCAGTCAGATCTATTAAGATCATCTTCTGACCCATCTGGGATAGTAAAATGTTGAACTAATTCATTATAAACATCGCTTTTATTTCCATTATCTATTTTTGCATCAAATTCATTTCTGTCAACACTAACAGCCAACATAGTTGCAGTTTAAGGCGATCTAGAAACTCGATTGAAATGGTTAAGACACCAAATTTTTAGAAAATTGCAAATAATATTGCTAATTATTTTTTATTTATAAAAAACCCAACTAAATATTCCAAAATGTTTTTTTTTTTTTTTAAATAGTTAAAACTAGGACTTACTTGTAGCTGATAAATAATTTGATGGTTGATTGGGAGTCTGCCATCAGCAACACTTTTCAGGTAGTTTCCAATGTCATCCATGTGAGAGTGAAGGCCCTTTAGTCCCATAAGCTGAGCAGTGATCTGCTGGGACAAGGTTCCCACAGTCGTGTCTTTGATATCCCTGTTGTGTTTAAGAAGAAATCAAATTTCAAGCAATAAATTTCAAATGAAAACCATCTACAAGCTTCATCTGCTTTCTGGTACAGGCACATTCTGTCACCATAGAGTTATGTATTTATATTTTGGATTGCTACTTCACCCTGAAATTAGATCAGTTGTTCTGTTCATTTTACATGCTCTGAATACAACTGTCCACTTTAATAATTTGCAAACATAATGCATTTTTTATTATAATTATAAGCCATTTCCCTCAGTGATATCGTTTCAATGCCCCTCTCTTATATAGATATCTGATCCCGATTTTAAGCATCTACCCAAACCTTTGCTAATCCCAATTAAGTGTAAGAAATGATGGTTTGCTTTATGAGTTAGAAAAAATACCTTCTGCTTTATATTTTCAATAATTTTGTTTCATCTACAATAATATTTATACTTCAATGAGAAACATGAAACATGTTAATAAGGGATAAAAACAACAAACTATAAACAAACTACAATATTTGTCATTAATTTTTCCAGAAGGAAGGACAAATTTTTCCCATTAATTAACTAAAAATGGTTTATTTGTTCCTAGCCTTGAACTTTGCCTATCTATTCTTTTTCAATAAAAACCCCCCAAAAAATAAATAAACAAGGGACTCAACTCTAAAACTAACCAAAAAATAAAATCTAAAATTAAATACAAAAATATGAACTCCATGGTCACTTAATTCTTTAAAAAAAATAGCTGCAGAAACTCGTAAATATTGAAAAGAAATAAAGGAGTAAACAAGAGTTGATGCCCACACTTTGAATCACCAACTGAGACTGAATGACTCATGTGAAGTGGGATGAATATTGAGGGTCAGTGTACTTTGACTGATTCAGTTGTTGACCTGTGTCACCTGCCTGTGATTGCCATTTTTTTTCGACACTAATTGAAATGATCCATGCAAAGCTAGTCATTTAAGACAGTGTACTCAAAGAATAAAATACCTAAGCAAATGTTCTACTCCAACTTCCTCCGCTTCTTCAGCACCAATCTCGCTAGGAACATGGTCAAATGTTTTGCTTGTTGGAGTACCATCCTGAAGGATTGAAATGTTTGATGTACATTTAATATAAAAAAGCACCATATTGATGTTAAATATTAGTATCACCTATAAAAAATGCAATAATTTCAAAACAGAGTTAACCAGAAAATGTTTCATATGTAATAAACAGAAACGTTCTGTAATGAATAATTTTAATCATTCATTATAATTACACAAATGCAATTAAATCTCAATCTTTACAGAAGTAACTTATGCACCACCAAAACTTCTTTAAAAATCATGATAGATGTTCTCAACCAACAATGTAAAAATAACATTTGAGTTGGAAAAGGTCAGGGTTGTTAACAATACTAAAAAAAATTATTCGCAATACCAATACTGCCTGTAAAATCTATTGGCAATACCAATACCAATACAATTTTAAAACCAGTATTGCAATACCAATACTTATTTATTATTACCTTACCAATACCAATATTTGGGTCATTCGACGAATATAACGCAAATACGTAATTCATCGCTCTATATCACTTACATCGATAAATGATAACAACATTTTTGGCTAATTTAGACAATGTATTTTTAACCAAATTTTGTTCAATAGTTAACACATGCTTCATCAGTTTTCCTCAAAGCATTCAAAAGTCTTTGACAACATATTAAATAAGTCGGCATACCTTAACGTCCTTAAGCAACAAGATTTTTAATATGTATACTGTACACATGTGAATGAATGAATGGATGGATGGATGAATGAATGGATGAATGAAGCAAATGACTGTCATTTTTGTTTGTAGGCCCTAGACACGGTGCCTAAAGTGCCTAAGCCTTAATCGAGCCTTGGTAAGTCACTGGTCAATGCTCATTGCCAAAGATATCATATATGATTTGATTTCTATTATCATTCATTTCATTGATCAGTCTCATTCAAAAATTGTTTGGCAATGTCACTCGCAAGATGGCGACACCAAAGAAAAATTTATTATATTCAGCTTTATTCACAACCAATGTTGTAGAGAATTTATTGAATATTGCTTTTAGTATTGGTTAAAAATCAATACCAATATCAAAAATAATTATTGGCAATACCAATACCAATATCAAATTTCAAGAAGTATTGCAATATCGTCCCAATACTTAAAAAAGTATTGGCAATACTACCAATACCAATACAATATTGCAATATTAACAACCCTGGAAAAGGTAAAACTTAAAATTATTTGTGTAAATGACATATTTCAAAAATATCCTCAACAAAGGCATCAAATCCCAGAATTAGTAACCAAGAACACACAAGTGTTACAGATCAACTTTTCAAATGATTTCCAAAAAACAATATAGATATAAATTACACTATAATGTCTAGTTCTTACTGTTTACAGCTAAAACCAGTAATTGTATGTAAATTTTTTATGTCACTCACATCATGAACCTCTTCAACAGAAATGTAAGCCTCAGTTGGAAGACCAAGCTCTTTAGGTTTTGCATCAATAACAACTAGGACCTAGAGAAGGAAAAACAGGTTTTAGATTTGTTCAAGAACAAGTTCTTACTTGTAATAATAAAATCTAAATCTAGACACATTATTTTTTGGGGAGCTAAGAAAAGAGAGAGAAAAAAAAAATATAATACATTTTTCAATTTCCACTGAAAATGTCCACTTACAGAGTTTGGATTGTATCTTCTCACCATCTCATTGATAGCAATGTCATTGGGATGGAGTTTAGGTCCAGTGTGATACCAACCAACAATTCTTTCACGGGCTTTATGAAAAGAAAATGTGTTTTTTAATTTAAAGCTTTAACTCTTTCACTGCGGGGCAGCGCATATTACGTTCATCCGCTTTGCTGTGATTCAATATTATTATTATTATTTTAAGTGGTTTTATATAGCGTGGTTGTGTGAGGTAGTGGCGGATGGAGCTGATTTGATGGATAGCGGTGTATGCAGTTCGACAAATGTGAGAGATATGATTATCAAGAGACATTTTGTTAGAAAGAATATAACCAAGATTCCCAGCGGTCGATTGCCAGGGCTGTGGTAGGAAGGTTGTTGCTTTGCTATTTCTCGGTTAAACTTTTTAAGAGCTATTTTATAATCAGACTTTTACACAGCAGAGAGGTACTTCATTATTTATGAGCGAAACCAAGGTTTATTTGTTGTCATTTTAAGCATTATTCTACTAATATTCTTGTTTTTTTTTCAGTATAAATACTGTCGCTAGGGCTACCCTAGGCCCTAGTGGGGTGAGTAAGTTTCCTAGATGTTTAACAGCTCAAAAAGCTTTGGAAATGTTTTATATTGTTTATTTTGATAGTGAAGTTGATTTAGATTTAGATCCATCGCATGATTCCGATAGCAGCAGTTTTAGAGGATTTGAGTTATAGCAGTGAAGATGATGTAAACCTACATCAAAGGGTTTGGGGGGACAAAACGATTTTGTATATCATGTTTTCGCATTTTAGGTTTATTTACTGTTACTTATTTTAGTTAAACTGAAGAAATAAGTTCATTATCCATTATTCAATTATCTTACATTTGATAAAAAATTTAGGCTTGTAAACCAAACAATAATATTTTAAAATATTTTTTAATAAACCCAACCTCTCACTCTTTTTGGTTCTTTGAAAATAATGTAAATTTTTTTCATTAAAAAAAATTCTGGAGCGAAAGAATTAATAAAAAAATCTCAAGAAGTAAAACAATTTACCCAAATAATGGATTATAAGAACTCAAATAATTTTAACTTTACCATTGACTTTTTTGAACATCCCATACATATTTTCAAGGTAATCATGATCAAGAAACCAAACAGATCTGTCTTTATCATCTTCATCAAATGGAACTGAAACAAACAACAACAAAATATTAGAAAACTTGGAAATTATGACATACATGTAATCTCAATATTATTAGTAAAACAAAACTCTTATCACGTTTGAAAATTTAACCAAATTTAAAAAACACAGTATCTTGTTAAGATTAAGTAGTTGTCAAATATGGGTTGATTTAACAAAGTTTGAAACTATTTAAAATTTAGTATAGGCCTAAATAAATTGTAACAGAAACAGTGGGAATCATGGCACAAATATTGATTAGTAAAAATGTTCATATTTAGTAGCTTCTCTTCTTGTCGGTCTATTTTGACAAGAAATGAAATAATTTAGATAATTAGCATAGGTGCAAAGGGGTTTCCACATCTTTCACCCCTAGTTCTTTATCTTTGCATTTAGGCCATCTCACTTATTTAGAATGTAGGAAATCTCTAAAAAAGGTATTTAATCCTTGTGTTTTTAATAATACAACTTCTGCAGTTAAAGTCTTTGCTACTTGAAAGACAGCAGTATTCATAACTTAAAATTAAAGTATTATACTACTGCTAACTACAGTAAACTAATTATTAGTGATTAGTTAGGACAATCATTATGTAAAATTAAAGATACTGGCCAGGTGGCTATCAATGGCATGATGATAATGAAAAATATGGTTTATATATGCAATTCGTGCCACTCAATTCCCCATGTTTATGCACTACTTTCCACTGCTACCATGATGGCAGATGTTTCATGGCAACAAAGGTGGCAGCTGTGTAAAAAAAAAAGTGTAAAAAAAAAGGTGCAAAAACACATCTGCTAAAATGTGGAGCGAAAAAAAAGTGTTGTTTTAACCACTTCACCCCTAAATTTAGTCCCCTCCCCTATTGAGCGAAAATCTTCAAACCTAAAATCTATGACTTAACGCTTAACATGAACCATAAAACCATGTGTTTGTGTGCATCATGTGCTACAGTTACTTTACTGTACAGGGTAAATTGTACATTTGAATAAAAAGATTAAAATAATTTATAAAATATTGAAAATAATTAAAACCCAAATTAGTTTCATCAAATGCACTTTTAAACACATTATTGCAGGTTCCACCAAAAACAAAATGCTGGAAAATTTAAATATTATCATTAACCAATCAATGAAATTTTAATTTAAAAATTCTATCCTCGTATTAAAGAATATATAACTTTAGAAACAAAACAAGAATAAACAAAGGGGAGTGAATCCAACACAGAAATTTGACATAAACACATATGACATATATGATGTCATGGCCCAAATGGTTTAAATTATCCATACAAAGTAATTGCACGTAGGTCTGGCACTTTGAATTTGAAGAGAAAACAGCGGTGGCCTTAGTTCTCTCCACAATGGAGTCCACATCAATAAACAAATAACTGTTTAAAACGACACCTCAACCGGAACAACAGGATTTTGTTCCTAAATTACACTGAAGCATACAAACCAAGAGCTGGGCTGTAGCAATTGGACAAAGACCCACCCATGTTCGCAACAATAAAAAAAAGGCAGAATGAGAATGCACTAGACATGACATTGTCGTATTGTAGAGCAGCAAAAGTGATATACAGGCAGAAACCTAGGGTCAGACGGCTCACCAGTCAACCTAGATACCAATAAAGTAAAGAAAAAATAGCACCAATAAAACAAAAAAAGTACCTGCAAAACTGTTGGAAACATCCAAAATCCCTTGTCGGTTAGAACCTAGAAGAACGCCAACTACTCGTTTTACATTGCCAACTTTTCCCATTCTGTTGAAATGATCAACAACACTTAGTAACACGAGGGGATGTACAACTACTTTACTAATCTTGGCATGATCAGTCGGAGACATTTTTACAAGATTTTAAATAATTTTAATTTCTTATTTAGTTCTGGTCCCAAACAAGACCGGGGATGCTACTCTTTGTTGAGATGACTACACGATTTTTCAACAATGGCGAAATGTGTGCTTCCGGTTGAAAAATTGACTATAACTCCTTTTAAATTAATGTAGCATAATCACAACTTTTCAAAATACACGTCAATGTTTTCGCATCTCCTGAGTGGACTGGCTTATAAGGTCGATCCCGAAGTGTCAGTCTCGGGTGCAGTTTTGACATCTTGCAATAGAACCTAGACTGCTGGTTTAATTTGGCTTTATGTAACAGTAAAGCTATTTTTTTGCGACAAAGACTTTTAGGACATAGATGAAGCAAAGATACTTTGTTCAATGAATATTTGCCTAATTAATCAAGTCATAATCCATCAACATGAATATTTAGTCTACTAAAAATATACTAATTTATTGAAAAAATGTGTCAAAAATATGCAGTGCCTGTTCGCTACACATTTCAGCCCTTTTTAGGCTTAAGTGAGTAGAAACAAAACTGAATAAAATAAAAGTAAAAGTAAAAACCTTCTCACATAATCATTGAAAATCAAATGCAATTTAAAGAAAGACACACGATGAACAAAGAATGAAATATAAACATTTGAAGATTCATTTTTGAGATATGTTGCTGCTTTTAAAAATTCAACCCTCAAGTTGAATAAGGCTTGAAAATATTTTGCAACGGAAATTCAAGAAAAGTTACTTATGCCTATGCATTAATACCAAGTGACAGTGACATACCGCTATACTTATACAGTACATGTTTCAGATGTGAGATCAGAGAATGGGTCACAAACATATTTTTTAAGTTAAAAGTGACTGATTTAATTGTCTAAAATTATTTTTAAGATTATTTACCTTTGACTTTTCAAATTTGATACCTTAATGTATCACAATATAACCGATTCTTGGATACTAATTATTACAAAATTGGTCAGCTTCTAATACCTTTTAAAAAGTTGACTCCATATCCACTAAAATTGTTTACAATTGCTAGGCAATGGCGGCCTATTACATGCCCAATACATTATTAGATGAATGCTCTAAAATTAATTATTAAAGGTTTGGGAGAATAAGATTTTAGACGCTGAAGAATACTTATCCTTATTGAAATGGATAAAGAAAATATTGGTAGAATTCCCAGGGAATTGTTGCACGAACAACACGAAAGGCTGTCAAACAAACACATCCAAACGCTCAGTTTCCTACAAGAATTGGCAAATGAAAACAAAGTTTTGAAAGAAAGAGTAAAGTTACTGGAGGTATATTTCATGTTAAATAACTGAAAATAAAAATAAACTATCTGCCTACACAAGCATTCTATTATGTTTCCCGCCTTTCAGTAGGATTGGCCTGGTTTTAGTTGTAGACACCATAAATTGCCATAAAATGTCCATAATAATTATTAATATCATAATCGTTAGGCTTTGGAAAAGTTCGCCTTTGTCCTACAATATAGACTACATCACCATAGAAAATTCATACATTTTTACCAGTGGCGTAGGAAGGGTGGTACAGACGGGGTGGCAATGCTTTTTGTTATGTGAAAGTGAAAGGTTGGCGGGTTGGCATTTTCAGCAAATTGTCAATTGCATCCATAAGGCATAATAGTTTTTGTTTTGTGGAATGGGGTAGAAAATAAGACACACCCCAGAGAGCACTAAGCCTAGCGATGCCACTGGTTATTACAATTAGTAATAACAATAAGAAATTACAATTAACATAGATGTAAATATTTTTTAAAAATAACTTAAACATGATTTACTTTGATAGATTATTCACTAGTGTCTTAAGCCAAGAAAATTTGAAAAACTTCATTTTATTTGTCTCTCCTGTCAAGTTTGCTAAAATTTATAAGGGAAAATAAATAGGGTGCTAGGCACCAAAAATAAATTATAAACCAATGGAGCTCATTTTATACTAACCATTAGTTATAGTATAGGATAGAACTAGAGCAGGAAAATGCTAAGCCAGCTTTAATTTTAATATTTATTTATTAGATCCTTATAAATTTGTATAATAATGTGAAGATTTTATTATTTTAAGGAATCATTAGGAGAGTGTAAAGACTTACATGTGTTTGCCAAGAACAGCAATGCAGAAATTCAAAATATAAAAGAGGCATATGTGGCACGTGCAAATGAAATTAAAAAGATGTCAGATAGACACAGGCTTGAGGTATAAGTTTATGAAATGGTAATTTTATTTTTTTAAGCATACAAATTTGTTCTTTCACCTTATACAATTAAATCAATACTTCATTAAAATACCTCCTTTTTCATATATAAACTAATTGGGTGTAATCATTTTTAAATCACCATAGTTGATGCAGATGGAAGAGACAAAATCTGAATTAGAGAGAGAGCTTAAAGAACAGATACTGAAGGTTAGTTACTACTAACAATATTTGGAACATTAATCTTAATTCCTTTATTTTTTGTACAGATATATAAGGCTAAGCAATAATCATCATTATCCCTTATTTAGTATTCTCCCATTTGTTTGTGTTGGAGTAGAGGAAATAAACTTGACATCTTTTGCTAACTATTTTATTTGTTATCATTAGGTTTTATATTATGTATATTGTGGAGAGGTTTGTTATTATCTTTATTGTGAAGAGAAAATATTTGCACACCAAGCACACTTAAATGGATTAGTTCACATTTCTTTGATAGCTGGGATTATTTCAGGCAAAGCAAGAAATCATTTGCATATTTATTAGCCTTGTCTTAGAAATGTTAAATTGTAATTTTTTTTGTGTGCATTTTTCTTCACAAAGTCAAGTTTATTGTTTCTATCTATAAAATTCTTGGGATAAATATGGCGATGTAGATCAACTATTAAACTTTGAAATCTTGAACAGAAAGAAATGTTACGTCACTGAGTTTGAGATAATTCCACAACCAAATCTAATATTCTTCACAACAAATTTTGTAAACTAATCACAAAGGCTACGCAATTAAATTTTGCTATCAGTTCTAGAATAAAACTAAATATGATTTTTATTACATAGGCTTATGCGAGTTGGATTATTTCTATAATACAATATAAAAACTTAAAAAGTAACTTTTTGGCTTATTATTATGAAATGCTGTCATTTAACTTTGATCTCTTTATCAAATTTTGCTTGGCCTTATTAAATTACAAGATATAATAAAGTTAGGCAAACATTAGAGCAATCCTGAACAAGTATTAATTTAATGTTAAAAATGATAAGCTAGCATACATTTTCTAATAATTCTTGACAGTCTTTAATCTTGAATTATAAATGGTTTATCTATTATATATATAAAAAACATTTCTTCAGGAAAGAGTTCTATGACCTGCTCTCTTACTCAGCTTTAAATAAATTATTGCAATTTAATTCTTTAAATTTATTTGATAGATGCATCAAGAAATTGAAGCTCTTAAAGAAGCAAATGCAGATTTGAGAGAAACTGCAGCAGAGGAGAAGAATAATGATAGAAATCAGAATGTTCAGGTAAAGTAAATGCATTAAAAAATTCAAAGCATAATAAATGATTATGTCTCTTTTGATAAAATTTTTATGTACAGCGCGGTGAGCCCAGCCCTAGGCTGGGGTACCACGCTATATGAGACGTCTAATTATTATTATTATACTTTTTATTTTAAAAAAATGATGTGAATATAACAGGTGTAGAATTAGATGTCTTTTTAAAAAAATATATATATATGCAGAACTGATTACCCCTACATATCTAAAATGATTTTCAATAAGCAATGCAAAACTCATAAAATTAAAATATAACTATTTTTTAAATTACAACAAAATCAGATTCTGCAGAAGGAAAATGAAGATTTGTCAGGAGAATTAGAAAGTGTGCGCAGTGACCTGAAAATATTTCAGTCAAAGAAAGCTAGTGAAATGTCAAAATTACAAGATCTTAAAGAAGAAAACAAACTTCTGAAAGAAAACTTACAAGAAAATCAGCAGAAAGCAAATGAATTAGAATTTAGGCTTGATAAGGCTCTTGGTGAACTCTCAGAGAAGTCAAAAAATGAGGTTAGTTGTTTCGTTTTGTTAAAAAAAAACTATTTAGAGATTGTGTGTTGTTAAAAATAAATTAAAAAACCCCTAAAAAAAGTTTTTCGTATAAATCCTAAATAAAATGTAATATTGAGCAGAGCAATGGGGAATGATAATGCAACAAAAACTTGCATACAAGTAATGCACTTTATAAAAACCCTCATTAGTGCTCCTCTCCCCCCCCCCCCCCCCCCCCCCCCCCCCCCCCCCCCCCCCCGCGGCTGGCAACTGCACATTTTTTGTAACACCCCTAAACCATATTAATATTTTAATACCCTGCTCGCTTTTACAGCACAGATTTATTTCACCAATTATTTCAGAAAAACAAAAGAAAATATTACACACTAAGAGCACTTGCGAGATTTGTTTTCTAAAAATCTTATTCATCTGGCGCAGTTATCGGGAATTTTCCCTCATGTTCCCCTTGAAAAACTGATTTTTGGGGGTTGGGCTGAAACTTTTTAGAATGTATTGTCATCAGCAACAAGTGTATGTGCCAAGTTTCAGCTTTATAGGTTGACGGTAAGTGGGTCAATTAGCTGTCCGAAAATTTTTGCTAGCCACAAACAAAAGCAAAGTTAATATAAAGGTTTTAAAAAAGTAAAATGATTGCCTCTATGCAGAAAGCGAAGCAATTTATAACATATTTAAATACTTATGAAAATCTTACATTGTTAGTTTTAGGGGTAAAAAAAAAGAAAGAAAGATCATTCATGAGATTCAGGGTAATGCGACAACAGAAGAGCTGTGGATGAAATTCAAGACAACAATCACTGATGCAGTGATGAAATTCATACCACACAAGACCTCAAAACCTAAGACAAATCAACCATGGGTTACGGCTGAAATCCAAAGGCTCATACACAGGAGAGACCGCCAGTACAAACGTATGAAGAAGAATGGGTCGGTCGAACTAAAAGCCGAAGTACTGAGGCTCCGAAGAACCATCCAACGCTTACTGCGCAGATCCTACTGGAACTACCTGAACGGCATCTTCTCAGAGGAAGATACTACCGCCAAGAACAAGCGGTTCTGGAGCTATGTCAAGCATCAAAGGTCAACAAACATCGGAGTTTCCCCCCTGAGATGGGAAGGCAAGTTGACGTCTGAACCCAAAGAACAGGCGGACATACTCAATCAACAGTTCCAGTCGGTCTTTGGGGATGGTAGAGAGTACTCAGAAGTTGAGTTCCTGCTGAAGACCAAGATGATGAGCACAGCCTATCCCACCATGGAAGATATCAAGATCTCAGAGAAGGGTGTGCTGGAACTTCTTAAAACCATTAACCCCTTCAAGGCATGTGGTCCTGACAACATCAAGCCACGAGTGCTAAAAGAATTGGCCGAAGAAATCGCTCCTGCATTAACAATCCTTTTCCAATCGTCGCTATTCACAGGCAAAGTTCCAACTGACTGGAGAACAGCGTATGTCACTCCGATCTACAAAAAAGGAGAACATTACGACCCAGCCAATTACCGCCCTGTATCCCTCACTAGCGTAGTATGTAAACTATTGGAACACATAATCGTAAGCGCGGTCATGAATCACCTGGAGAGAAATAATATACTCAATGACTGTCAGCATGGCTTTCGAGTCAACAGATCATGCGAGACCCAACTCCTTGAATTTGCTGAAGAGTTGACGACCAACTTGGAGAACAGCAAGCAGACTGATGTGCTTGTGCTGGACTTTTCAAAAGCGTTTGACCGTGTCAACCATAGCTTGCTATTACACAAACTGCATAGATATGGGATCCAAGGCACTACCAAAACATGGATCTCTAGCTTCCTCAGCGACCGATGCCAGGCAGTAGTGGTAGATGGCAAAACCTCCTCCTTTGTCGGTGTTAAGTCAGGGGTCCCCCAGGGCTCAGTGCTAGGCCCTTGTTTGTTCCTAGCATATATCAATGATCTGCCAGAGAAGCTGACCTCTCAAGCAAGACTGTTCGCAGACGACACGGCGGTATATAGGACAATCGTCAACAGCTCTGACCAGAGCCAGCTTCAACAAGACCTCAATCGGTTAGCTGAGTGGGAGATGAGCTGGGACATGGAATTTCATCCCGTCAAGTGCCAGACCCTGTCAGTCTCCAGAAGCAGGTTCCCTCTAAACCACTCTTACGAACTGCATGGCCATATTCTTGAGCCAGTTTCCTCCGTAAAGTACTTGGGTGTTACCATCCAAAGAGAGGTCCGCTGGGACGAGCACATTAACAGTGTGTGCAACCGGGCAAACAAGACCCTGGGGTTCCTAAGGCGCAATCTGAAGATCGGCAACTCAAGCGTGAAAGAAAAAGCCTATAAAGCCTTTGTCCGACCTATTTTAGAGTACGCTTCTACAGTCTGGGACCCATTTACCCAGAAAAGCATTTGTACAAGATAACAAATGGGCTGGTGCACTGCTCCGGAATCAAACAGAAACTCGTTCATCTTCCCCCCAGACTGCGACGAAGTCACGACAAACAGTTCCGGCTGGTAAAAACAAGAACAAAGTACAGAAGCTCCTCATTCCTGCCGAAGACAATAGGGGACTGGAACAAGCTTCCAAAAGCAACAGTTGAGGCGGCTACACTCGAGACATTTGTGTCTATTGCCTCCTGTATTCCAACCCCCAGTTCATAACACCACTGCTGAGTCGCCCTTGCAATCAGTGAAGTATCCCATTGAAACCCATGGACAGTAACATTGCAAACCCCTCTGAAACATAGGAGCCAGAATGATCAATTCATTGATCGTGGGCCCTTAAAATAAAGAAGACAAGAAGACCATTTTTCTTAGGTGGCGCCACAATGTTTTTAGGACTGACTTTGAAAATTTAGCCGTTCGGTAAATATATTCAACAACCAAGTTGACTTGGCAACCTGCATTTGTCTGTGACTCTTTATCATAATTTTTTTTTTGTTGAGTATCATGAAATATTCAACTTCCAGATAAAAAGTATTTCCTTAAATTTATTTTTAAACTTACAATCTCAACATTTTAATCCCTATTACTAAAGAATGTATTCACATAATACAAATTCAGTTTTTGAGATTTCCAATTTTTAAAAATAGTAAATTCTTGATGCTAAACTTAAATAACAAGTGTTATGATTTATCCATTTTTAATTTTCTTTTTTTTATAAAGGAAGCAGCGACCCTATTAGAAAACTTAAAGTATCAAATAAAAGAACTTAAACTTGAAAGAGAAGACAGAATCAAGTTTGTGGAACAGATGAAACTGGATTTTAGAGACTTACAGGATATAAAAACTGAGATCATGCAAGCTAACCTTCACCTTCAGTCTGAGCTCGAGAACTTGCTGGGTGAATATGGCCAGTTGTCACTGGAATATGACAAGTTACGAAAACATTCTAAAATGGTGCAGGACAATAAGACTTTCAAAGATTTTGTTTTATTGAAACGTGAGTTGGTGTCTTTAAAAGATGAAAATGAAGTCCTGAAGTTGAAAACACGGCCAAATGATTTTCTTCTTTTGAAAGAAGAATTTTTGCCACAGCCTCCTCTAAAACCTCAGAAAAAGAATTCCTTGGATGTAACCAGAAGTGGCGCGAAAAGGTTGCTTTCAATAACTTCAGGGCAGAGTGCTTCATGAGCTGCAACATTTCATTCATTGTGGGAAAAATGTTAGTTGCACTGTTCTACATTCAGGGAATGCAAAAACATTTTTATTCATTTAAATTCCATGGAAAACAGCCAACTGGTGTATTTTCGACTGTTTTACTATTGTACTCAAATTATGAACAGATACGTATTGACTTCTCTAATGACTTCAGATGATTCTTGATGTCTTAGAGCAATTGAATTTATTTGTATTTTCTGAGAATCTTTAACTGTAAAATATATGTTTGAAAAGAATGCTGGTGTCTCCTTTCTGTCAAAATTTGTATTCAGCTCAGCTGAACAATGCAAGACTTACAATATTGCTAATTAATTTCAGAAGTTGGATAGTAACCCATATGGCCTAATAATGGGATGTGTAGTCCTGCATTAAGTGAGTCTAAGCATCAAGTGAGTCTAACTCATCATTATAACACCAGTTTGAAACTTCTAGTAAAATTCTTTTTGAAGGTTGTTGTTTCCTTCAAAGAACACAGTTTGTTCAATTCAGTCACATTGTGCCATATTCAGGTTTTCAATGTTCACCAAAAATTTATTTATAGCATTCTAATTTTTTTTTTTCTTTCTTATTACAGAATTTATATTAATGAAATCATTATATTAAAATGTAGAAAAATAAATAAAACAACAGTAATCTTTGGTATAATAAAAAGATATCAAACATTTTTATTACATGATGTATACACACAAAAAAGGGATTAATAATAATAATAATTATAATAAAATATTGACAGTATTAAAACATATATACAATACTATCCATTTGTAACATTTCCAAGGCATAAACACCAGTATCTAGAGTAAAGCAACTCAACAAAAGCTTTCAGATTTGGCTGAGAAAGCTCCAAGTTGGTAAAAACTAATTTAACTATTTAAAACAAATACTTCATACATTAATATCTAATATGAATATGATTTGGGAATTATTTTAATTAAAGTTAAATGAATACATTTTCCCCAATTCTTTTAGCAACTAGAAAAAAATATATTAAATATCTTCTACCAAGAAAATGTATTAACTTAAAAATAAACAATCGTACTCTTGTATAATCTCATCAGTTTTTAAGGTATACTGGTATAGTTATTACCTTCTATAAACAAATATATTGTTAATGAATTATTAATCTTTACCCTTCATTTGTTTTATCAAAACAATTATTTCTAGTTCAAAATAACACCTAATAAATTCAAACTGATTTTTAAAAATCATGATGTAATGAAAAGTTATGATTTTTCAAAATAAAAATCATAACCTAGCCTTCTCTCGGAATAAGGAATAAATTAGGATAAGTATACTTTACATGCTAAAATGCTAAATAATGTTCAGTAAAATAAAATAAATTAATTTGATCATTTATTTATTAGATTTAGTTTATCGAACTTGGAGGGGGCGGCTTCTTGTTTCTGCCTTCTGTTGCCAATTTTTGACGCAACTGTCGCACATTATTTAGCAACGCCACTTCATTTTCATCAAAGGCACGCCGATTTCTCTCAAATGAAACTGATTTTTTTAGGAGTAAAAAAAACCACCCTGAAATATTAGCTTATTTAATATAAAATAAAATAATTCACATTAAACTAAAAGGAAATGATTACAAATAAGTGTACGACCAATAATAAGCAAAATGAAGCTGTTAGCTAAATTTATTGAGTTTATGTGTTTGCCCTCCAAATATTTTAGTGCCATTTTGAGATTTCAATACTCAGGCGATTAAACCACCTCTAGTACTATCTAATTGTCTAGGTTCATTTCTTTAGTTTTTTTATATTATAATCAAATCCTTATTTGAATGAATATCCGAAACAAGATCATATTTTAAAAGTTTAAAACTGAAAAATTTGTGCCATAACATCTTTTTCCATATTACTCTTTTTCAATGTTGCCTTTAGATAATAAAACCTACCTCTTGAAAGCTCTAGGGATGAATTTGGAGGAAGATCTCGACTATTAATTTGTCCAATAGATCCTGAAATAAAAGAATAAATTTTCTGTCAAATGTGTTTCTTGGCTGTTGGAGAAGATATTCAAATTAGTTATCTTTAGTAATCTATTAATAGTAATTTTGAAGTGGATATTGCACATGAGCAATAAACATGTAATATACAACTAATAATGCAACCTTTCCAAAGTTTAGCTATCCTGGCTAGGTATTTGCTACATGGTGCATAGAACTGCTTCAATCAACTTATTTAAAATCATCCTGATTTACTAATATAAAAAAATCTAAAATGCCCTAACTTTTTTTCTGGACATTCTATGTAAGGACTGAAAACGAAAACTTGTTCATCACAAGATGACACAGTGTACTAACCATCTTCCCTATCTTCAGTTTTATCCATCAGGTCTAGAGTGTGATGTCTCCCAGCTAACAGTTCATCTTCTGCTGTCCTCATCCTTCTTTCCTTGTTGCCTATCCCAATTACTCTTTCTTCTGCTATCACCTGATATCCCAAAGCAGTCTCGGTTTTCTAGAAAAGAAATGGAGAGGATGAAAATAGAAGTAACCCTGAAAACGTTAAAATTTGAAAAGCATTTAACGCTGCTGTTCATTTACGTATTAAAGATGAGATTTGAACTGATCAGTTACAGCCCAGCAAATTTCTTTTAGTATTTTTTTGTTTCCATTGAAAATTATTACAAAAGGAAAGAATATATTCTTTTTTTAAATATTTATTTTTGTGTGTGTGGTTAAAAACCTTATGTTTTAGCTTCACTGGTATTAATCAATGATAAACAACTGCACATGATTGAATACCTCTATTCTAAAGTTGCTTAAGTGAATTTTAAACATCTGGCATGTAAGTTCATAGTTTTATTTTTTTTAATGGCAAAAGTTAAATTATATCACATGTGAATGAATATATAAAGGCAGAAATACTTATAGCATATATAAATTTCTTAAACTGAAAGCATGGTAAAGAATTATTTATACAAGTTTTAAGCAGCTTCAAAACAACACGAGTGAAACAAACCTTCTGTCTGTGGATTTTATTCATCAGATCATATACTTCATTCTCCAGCTCTCTGTTCTTGGTGGTGAGATAAACAAGCTGAAAATATCAACACTTTATTATAATATGGCAAGGAGTTGATTTGGAGATCAAGAATCATAGGTGACCCGCAAAAACTAAAATATTTCACCTACTTACAAAGTAAATATTAGTTCTGGTGTGCATGAGGGCATTTTATAACACAAATAATATCTGTGATCTTTTGATACTTAATACATTCCATATAGCTTTTAAACCATTTGCATAAAGTCTATTGTATCTGGCCAGGGAGTATTTTAATACGCCAAGTAAGTAAAAAAAAAACATGGTTTGCAACCAGAACGTAAAATATTAAATGTTGCATTGCAATTTTAAATAATGAATGGGAAATATTTATTAATCATAATTTCTTTTAAATTTACACATTTTCCATTTAAAAATTTCTATTTATTTAAAAATAACATTTACACTTGGGAAAAAAAACCCCATTAACATGAACTCAAATTATATATCAGAGAATAAATGGAGTTTAAAAAAAAAATCTACCCTATCCATATTTTCAAGATTTTATTTGTACAAAATTGTTCACCATAGCAACCATAGATGATGTTTGACTTGGGACATTTGGATTGCTTAAACACATAACATCTCTGAAATTAAACCCTAAATCCCAATTTTCCTTTATAAAGATTCTATGGCAATGACACCAAACCTTCTCCATGTCAGTTTCTTTGTCCAAGTCAGCCTTCTTGTGCTTGGCCTCCAATTCCTTGTGTGCCCACATGTCAATGTTTTGCTGAGCAGCTAAAGCAAGCTTTTGTTCCATTCTCTGGGGAAAATAAAAAATTGGTCATGTAGTAAAGAAAGAGAATATAATGGCGTGTTGTTCCATAAAACCTGCCAGAATGCAAAGCCCGTCCACAGACTCTAAAAAAAAAAAACATGTCCAAAAATAAAAAAACCCTTGACTAAAAAGAGAATGGCTGAAATGACTACCATTAATTATTTTAAATTAGTATTTTCAAGCTTCTTTTATTATGTCCAGATTGATATGATTATAGATTTTGCTTGCGGAACGCACCCGAGTGAAAGTGGGGTGGGGTTTGAGGTGGGGGTTGTGGAATTATTTTATAAATTCAAAATGCAGAAATTCACTTGGCATAGATACCTGAATATAGATTTGATTCATTCTACTCTTAATCAGAATGCTTGGGGGATTTTTAAAAAAAGATTTTAGATTACTAATTTCAATCATTTTTAAAAAAAATCAGTCTAAAAAAGGGTTGGATACAAGAAAATTGCACTGCATACTGTCACAAAAAGTGATGTATATACATTTCAAAAATGAATTAATGCCAAAAATAAAAATAATGCCTTATTAGCTGAATAAATAAGTTAATTTGGGATATATCCTGCAGCCCACCACATTTAACATGGTACGCTGCAGGTTGGCCACAACTGCATTAAGAATAGGAGTCGGATTTTATTTTCCTTTAACATATATTAACAACTAATGCAAGCTGTAGAGGGAGAAAGGAAGAGGAGTGCTGAAACCAAACTGGGGTATTAAAGTTTTGCAGGTCCATAGTGGTTTCTAAAATAGATTTTAAATGCCGTTTACGAGATCTTATAAAATATGTCAAAACCTAATCTGTTGTGCGGAGCAGTTGAGAGTGCATTAAAAAAAATTTGTAGTTTTCTGTTTTCACAATCACTGTGGTTCAGCAGAAGAATAAATGAATGAGTTATGTCACAAAATAATGCCATACAGCCCCAAAGCAAACTAGCAAATGTTGACTAAATATGTTCATTGTTAAAACACAAAGCAACAATATGACAATCATCACCATCATTACCAAACAAGGTGGTGTTATTTTATAGTCTTTAAAATATGTAGACAAATCCCTCCTCCCATGCACACCCGTACTCTCCTAAGTCAACACTCCCCCCCCACTTCTCCTCTCAGTGCATACATAATATAATTATGGATGGTCCCCCATCAATCCACATTTTCCTGTCCATTCTCCACCAGTTGTAGAAAGGAGCTAAAACTAAAACCCGAAAATGTATTTTTTTTTTAATTGTAAAACTACCAGGGTATATTTTTTCAACCCAGTCTCTTAAAAATAGTAACTCTGACAGGTCTCAGCGTACAATTGTAAAAGACATCTCAAAATTGTACATTGTATTATGCCAAAATCATAAGTGTAATCACATCTGGTAAATTTTATTTAGATATTTACACAAAAAGGAGTGATAATTATGTTTTATAATGATGAAAACTCTCAAAGCAACTTCTCCCATGCTCACTTACCAAAAGACTATGTATGAAGATTTCTACAACTTCTTTTAAACAAACTCTTACTTGATTTTTTTGGTTGAAAATTGAAATAAATGACCATTAGATGGTTTTTAAAAATTAAATCAATAATAGCCAGGGGGCAGACAAAAATTAACAACATAATGAGTAACTGATACATTATACCTAAAATGTTAGCAATCTAGACTTTTTATGTGAATTATTTAAAGTACCTACTTTTCGAGCCTCCAGTTCTCTACTCCTCTCAGCATCGTCCAGTTTTAATTTCAATCTGTCTTCAAGTTCTGTCTGTTTTCGGTGCATATCCTGTTCTGAACGCAGAGCTTGTGACTGGATGGCAAACTCTCTGTACAGTTCCTTAAATAGTTTTTATAATGGAGATTTAAAAAAAAAAGAAGAAATGTTAAGAGTTGTCTCAAAAAATCACAGGCTTTCAGTTCTCTGCTTGGAAGGTATTTTAATTCTCATAATAATTCTAAGCTGAGGTAACAATCTTAAAACATTTTATGATTTTAGATCATTAGCTAATGGCTAACCAGGCCTGAACAACTCATAATGTAAGGCGGGCCGTAACACTTTATGAAAAACTTGTGCGGGCCAAAAGAAAATAGGACAGGGGGGAAAGCTATTGAGAAAATAATAATTAAACATAATATTTCATTACTTTGCGGGCCGAAAAGCTGGCCATATGTTGAGCAGGTCTGGTTATGACACATTGATCCATGTCATTTTACAATTTTGTCCTAAACATATTTAATGCAGAGCTCAAGAGCTTACAAATTTAATGACCAAGCTCTGATAATTTGTATTTAGCTGTTGAATTTTCTACATTTATGATTTTTTAATGGTTTCTGCTATTTACAATTAAAAAATAAAATGTTCTTAATGATTTTCATACCAATGTTTGACAAGGATAAATCTTTACATGAAACAGTACAACCACTTAAAAACTGAAAAAGAAATTAACTGAAATAATTTTTTTGCGGTTATTTATTGATAAAATAAAATAAATTGACCAACCTGCTCAAATAATTTCTTTTGTAACTGCAGTTCCATATTTTTAATCTCTGCTTCTTGGATGGCTACCTCAGTTTCTTGATCCCTTTGCAAGGCCTGAAAAAATTTTAAAATATTGTTTGTGATCTTAAAAAAATAAATATTATTTTATGAATGTGTCAATTGATAAAACCTTGAACCATTTTCTAATAAGTCTAGTTGCATTATATCTGGCAATACCTAAGGGATTTAGTGAGTAAAAGCATTTAATTAATAAAATTATGTATTTTAGGATTAAAATTTATTTTTCAAAAAGAAAAAAATTAAGAAAATTAAAGAAATAATGTAAAAAATACCTACCCATTTTTTACTGTGGTCTTAAAAAGAAACCACTATTTATTTCAGCCTTCATTAATTATATCTTAATTATAAAATTTGCTGAAACTGTTTCAATGTTCCTATTTCAATCAACCCACCTTTCTCTGCAACTCATCATCCAGTCGCCTCAGCTCGACCTCCCTCTGTTCCTTTTGAAACTGAAGAAATTTTCGACGTCCAGCCTCTAACAGAGTCAGCTCCTTTATCTTGACCTCACGATTCATTGCTAAGAGTCTGAAATAATTTTAAAAAAATATTTTTGTTAATGCATCACAGAACACACAGTGTTTAAAAATTATTGGAAATATTGGGTTCATTTAATGACATATAATCTAACTATCTTAATCCTCATTATCTCCATATCAAGTCAAATTATTTGATTACAAGTAAAATAAAGAACATTTTTTAAAAAGTCAATCCCTTTTTATTATTGTTACTAGTCACAAAAGTTCTGCAAACATTATAATTTCAATTATATGATCAACCGCTAAATCAAGTCTGGATCAGATCTGACATCCAAATATTTAAAATTGTCATAAGCAAACTGTTATTACTAGTTGGAACACAACAATGTTTTAATTATACTACTCAAATCATTCCTTAAAGAAGAGATTGCTATAAAACTGAAGTAGATTTTAAAAAGATAGAAATCATGTGTGTAATATTTGGTAGTTTTTTAATTATGATATAATAAAAGTTACAAACGTTTGGCCAAAAACATCAAGAAAGGAATTAAAGGAGGTCCTCATTTTACAGGGGTTCATATTATGGCAGATTCCATATTACGTCCGTTGTGCCCAGCGCAAAAAAAAAAAACGTAATAAATTTATTAAATGTGCTAGTTTTTTCAGTGTGCCACGAGCAGATACAATGTCATCATGGAAGTTAGCAGGCTAGCTTGTGAAATAGCACATAATGACACATCCCAAGCGACTTTAATCATGTGATCGGCAGCATCCAAATATGTTTAATTATGGTTTAATATCTTAAATTTGATGTATGTACAAGCATATATACATATTTTACTACATACATGTATATATACAGGTACAAATATACATAGTTTATGAGTCAGTAGGGTGCTTAGTAAATTAGGGTGGATTTCAAGTTGTGTTACCAATGAAAGAAAAACAGAACCCCGACGTCAATGAGGACCTCCTATACAAGGAAAAGTGAAGTTTGTAAGTGATTAGACAATTTACAACTAGCCATACATAAATGTTATAATTAACCCAAAGAACAAACCAAAATGTAACAAGTATATTAACTCATTAGTCACATCTTACTGCTCACCTTTTCCGTTGGTCAGCCAATTTGGCCTCTTCTTCCTGAATCATTCTGCGCCTCTTCTCTTCTGCTTCCAGCAACAGTTGTTGCTGCCTGTACCATTGTTGCTCCTCTTGCTGTTTTTGCACTGTTTCTTTCTGAACATCAAGAGTGAGGACCCTGATGTATGTTAAAAAGTATTGAAAACAACCGCTAGTGTTGACAGAGCAAACTCAACACCTTGGAATTTATTTGCTAAAGCTTAGAACAGGAAATGTTTAATTGTACACAAAAAAGTGTTCAAAATTCTTTAAAATTATTTCTTGGCTGTTCAAAAATTAATAAAATAACTTAAATACATCAGTAAATAATCCTCATTCTTTTATTTAAAATTAATAATATTAACTTATGCACCCGATGCCAATGTAACTTAGGTCTTCAAACTAAACCCTCAGAAATCCTTTTCTTAACAACTAACAATAAGCAGAAGGCTGCGGCTACTTGGACCAGGGCAACAGAAGTGAGAGTTTGAGTTTATTAAAAAAATATTTAAAATATTATTGTAGGGTTTGTAAGACAAAATTAGTTATCAAATGTAAGATAATTGAATGGACTATATTTTGTAAACTTACTTCTTCAGTTTAACTAAAATAAATACCACAAATGACAGCCGAATAGCATTTAGTCTAACGGGACTCGGACACGCATCGCCACAAAGCACTAAATGACTATACTTAAATTATCTCCCATATAAGTCCAAGATACAAAATTTGTTGTTACTTTTGTCTCATGTACTCCAACTCCTCCTGTCGAATTCTTTCTCTTTCTTGAACCTGAACAAAAATAACAGAACAAAAAAATCTATAACAAATTTGGTTTTGGAAGACTACCAAATTTTCACAAATAAAGTAAACTAATTTATAGCAATTATTAACTCTATTAATACATTTAACTGAATATGATCAATACATTTTTTAAGAATATTTAAATTAGTATTAGTAAAATCAATCAGCTTCACATGTATATAAAAAATTCTCATACCTGATAATCTACAATGAACTTGGGATACTTGTTGAATACTGGATAGTTTCCTTTTGTCAATGGAACAAAGTCTTCCAAAATATTCTCAGGGTGAAGGTCAGATGGAGTTGATTCCATTAGATGGTTGGCCTCCTTGATAACTTGTTTGATACTTATGGCATTACGATGGTGAAAAAAGAACTTGAAAAGAAGAAAAAAAGATAGTTGAATAGCAGTTTTGAGAGATATGCAGTTATATATTCTTTTTCAGTCCTAAAACAGAGAATAATTTAAGTAGTAGTGCTTTAAAAGTTTTTTTTTTAAAATCAAGAGATCATGTAATTCATTTTTGGCATTTATATATTTTACTTCACATTATCTCTCTCGTCTTGACTATTGTAACTCTCTTCTGTCAGGTTCACCAAAATATTTCATTGAAAAATTACAAAAGGTTCAAAACTCAGCTTCAAGGCTAATTCTAAAGGCAAAAAAATGTGATCACATCACACCACTACTTCATTGGCTCCCTGTACAAGCACGGATTGACTACAAACTCTCTATTCTCTGGCACAACTTTTTCTCCAATTCCTTCCTATCTAGCCGAACCTCTATCTGTCTATTCACCCCTTTGACAACTTCACTCCTCCACAGACACGCGTATTCTTTCTGTCAACAAGACTCGCACAAAAACATACGGTGAACGATCTTTCTCTTTCTGTGCCCCCAAACAATGGAATTCTCTTCCACTACACAATCGCATTATATCGACCATCACAGCCTTCAAAACACATCTCTTTAAACTCTACTATCCTGACTGATCCCCCTGTCTGACCAATAAACAATGCTGCTGGGTGCCGTCTATGGCTGGACATGTAAATAGTTCTTGAATGGGTGTAGTGAATATACATTTGTTTTGTTTTATTTAATTAATGTATGTTAATTTTTAAGTTCATGATTATGTTTGTTAAATTTTATGTACAGCGTGGTGAGCCCAGCCATAGGCTGGGGTACTGCGCTATATAAAAACACCAATAATAATAATATGAAAGGCACTTTCTATTTACAAGGCTATGATATTTTTAAAAAAATTATTTAAAAACCATAAAATAATCATGCATAGATAAGATTCCAGCCAGAATGTGTTCCAACTCATAATCAAGATGGCATAAATTTTAAACTTTGTTACAACACTGACCTTAAAGTCATCCATCTCTGTACATTTCATAAGAGGTCCCCGTGCACATATTGTATATGCCACGACCACCATGAGGATGTAAGATGGATGGTTACTGACAATATTGTCCCACAACATGAACCACTCATCTTGAGTCAAAACTTCAGAAAACACAGTCTCTAGCAGTGGCCAGGCATACATCTTAAAATACAGGACAAAAGATGATGCTCAAAAAAAAGGATGACTTTTTTTACCATTATTGCTAAATGATACAAATATAAATAAATTCAACAACTAGCCATGTGTTGTTACCATGTAAAATAAATACTTTTAACTGGAAATGTAGTTCCATTATGCTTGTGTTGGTTTCAATGGTTTGTTTTCTTACCACTTTGATAAAACTAACAGAATAATGATAAATATTAACAGACAAATCAAGAATGACATCTGATCACTTCAACAAACCTGGGAGGTGATGCCGAACTTGACAAAGTGCTGAAGCAGATTTGGCTCATGCTGAGCCAACAGGTTCTCTATGATGCCAAGGATGTTGATGGGTGGATTGGGGAAATATTCAAACCAATGTTGGCCCCAGTTCACTGTCAACATAAAAGAAAATTTGTATCAATCAATTTATAAATAATTTTATAAAATTTGAAAAAGGGAAAATTTAAAAATGATACAACACAGGGCTTCAATTATATTAAATGTATAAAATCAAAATGATATAAAAATAAATTGACGTACAACATTAAAATTAATGACACGAATATCTTATCCTTTAATACTTATTAATTTTCTTAAATCGGTAATAGATCATTTTCAGAAAACACCAGTGATGACAGCACTAGAAAACCAAATTCCTCACCCAGGATTGTTGCGATGAGCTCAAAGCAAACCAAGTGGTTGTTCTGGAAGAGCTTGACAAAAGGAAAAGCAAATGTCGGCAGATATTGAGTTTCTCCAAATATTGGTGACCAATGCCCTAATGCTGATAAAATTCTGTATTGCCAAAAAAAGAAAATGAAAGGAAAGTAACTTTCAAGAGGAGAAATAAAAGGAAATAAGCAAAACAAAGTAGGGGAAAACCTGAAAAATGATGTAACAAAATAAGGAATGAGGCGGCAAGTGGGCTTCTTCAACCTAAAACCTAGTTGCAATCTCTCCCCCTTATAACTAAGAGAAATGAAAGCCATGTGCTTATTGTTATTTGAGATAAAAACATTAGTTACAAACATACTCTGTTTTCAACCATCCCTACTGTACTTTGTTTTCAACCATCCCTACTGTACTCCTGTTTTCAACCATCCCTACTGTACCCGGCTTTTAACCCACCCATACTGTTCTGTTTTCAACCATCCCTACTGTACTATTTTTTAACCATCCCTACTTTACTGTTTTCAACCATCCCTACAGAACTCTGTTTTCAACAATCCATACTGTACTCCGTTTTCAACCTTCCCTACATTGTAATTCACCTTTAAAATTTTTTTTTACATTAAAGACTACTACATATATGGAGTTGAGTTTGATCAAATTATTTACCAACACTGTATGACTAATGACTACTGGACATTTATTCAATGTTGTTATAATAAACTTTACACAGGAGAACATGACATGAAATAATAGCACTGATATCCTGCCTCACCTTTGTAAAATCCTCAACAGTTTACGACTCTTGATTGGATAGACTTCATGGAGCTTGCTGTAAGATGGATGAACTCCCTTGTCGATAAGAGCAGCATAGGCAGAGAAATTTTCTGGCAATTCCAAAATTTTTCTCCATATGAACATCCTGTTGGAAGACATGACAAAAACTCATTATATTTCTATCTTATTGTTCCTTATCATAATTTTCACTCCTTCTAGAAAAACTACAAACTTTTGGTAAAAATTTACCATATCATAATCTTAACTCCTTCCTGCAAAACAACTGAACAAACTTTTGGTAAAAAAATTGACCAGTTTTTTTTTCCTTAATCAAATTCTGTATGATCATAAATGAGAATTAGGATAACACAATAAATGTGAGTAATGTGCATGAATTTGAGACAAAATAGTGGTAGATGATCTCAAATCTCAACTGTCAAAGATGCAAATGTTTTAAAAAATGTACCTATATTTAGCAGGATACTCTCCATAGCCTTTTAAGATTGCCAAAAGTTTGGTCTTGTTAAGTCCTCCAAGCTCAGCACTCTGTGAAATAAGTTAGCATTTAATAATAGTTTAATGTAAGAAGATTAACTGAGAGATGAGTAAAATTTTTGTTCAAAAGATTAATTCATCATGATAAAATGGTGCAGTTTTATAAAGATGTTTAAATGAAAATGAACTAGTTAATGAATTATTTTTTTTGTGTGTTAATCCGATGATGTACTATTATAGATAATTAATTAAACAATTGGCATGGTTAAAATTAGGAATTAAATGTTTACAAGAAAAGCACATTTGGCACGATTTACACATTGGCTAATTGCTAAGTGTTTAAATTTACTCCTATTAAATCTTACAGTTTCTTTATCATTCTCCTCATCACTGGCTTGTGAATTCTGGCCAGATTTTTTAAGCTTCTCTTGTTTAGCAGATCCTTGGTTAGCTTTGGCTCTCCTCATGCTGCTCTCTGTTGATAGCGTGTCACTAAGTCTGTCCCCTGTCACCACCTTCATTAAAGCTGGTGGAGGCTGGCAAAAGATTGGGACGAAGAAATAAATATTTGTTAATGTTTGAAACGAAGACAAAAATTTAAAACAAAGAAATTAAGGGACAATAAATTCAGTGACACAGCTAAGGTACGAGCTTTGCCCCAGTTGTAGCTGATTTCTGAGGCTTAACCATCCAAAAGACCAAGTGAGAAATTTTCTTGAGTGCCCTGACCTGAGGCTGAGAGTGGGGGGGGATGATGAAGGTGAGTCTTGTTCCTGTTTGAAGGCTTTTCATTGATGGTGCTAGGCTGATGCCTTCATTTGTTGCAATCTGATAGTTCCCTTTTATAGGCAATGATATAAAAGATCTAGTCAGTGCAATTTAACCAGAAAAAAAATACCTTGACACCCAATGCACTCACCCTGTTGAGATCAGCTGCTAAAGCATCAACACTGTAGATGTTCAAAGAGCCATTTTCAGTGACTCCTACAATGTGACGTCCACCAGGACCTGTGACAGTATGTCTGAGCCTGGACTCAACTGTCCCAATGTCAAAGAGCAGTTTGCATGAGTCTGTATTGATGTAACGCATGATGCCATCTTGTGACAATACCCCTAATATCTGTGGGGGAAAAAAAAAATAAAGACAGCATAAAGATAATACAAAATTTTAGGTTGTTCAAATCACATATTGGAAAGGATAATATTTCATTGTTTATTGATCTGTGTTAATGATGAAACGATGTATGGCAGGAGTTCTTAATCAGGGGCTGTGGGAATCACTGTAATAAAATTTTTCGATGGATAGATTACATTCAATTGCTTAAAAAATACAATGTTCTGTTTAAGTTAAGCTCATTCCAACCTGATTGACACCATTTTGGTAACTGTCCTGCAAGAATTCCATCTGTTTTATGGAAGCCACTTTATTTGGCATCTCAATCACTCGGATCAGTTGTCTTGTGTCAAGAGACCACAGATACAGAAATCGGGACTTCCCACCAGCTATTAAATAACGAGCATCTCTATGAATGAAAAATAACTATGGTTAAATTTTTTAACACTTTTGAAAAATTATGTTTGATAAATCTTTCGGTCAAATTATAAATGTCTAGGAATAAGAATATGCAGCAAAGAACATAAAGTCAACTAATAGATAATGCAAGAGATAGAATTTCCTCATAAATATTCAAATCGAGAATTTTTAATGCTGCTTTATTGCATTTAGAATTTACCTGGAAGCAGCAAAAGCTCTGTATTTCGGAGTTTCTCCGACAGGTACAGGCAATTGATATTTACAGGTCATTGAGTCCAGATCCCAGGCAAATATTGTGTCATCATGGAAACACGTCATAATAGTATTGCTATTAGGAAGGAAAAATGCCTGGAAGTGAAGAAAAATATTGAGATAATATCTTGTATATCCAACACAATGCATTTCCTTATAGGGTGAAGCTTAGGGCTGGATTAATGATTGGTACAAAATATGCATGTGTCAAGAGCATCAAGGGGGTACCAAAGAATTTTTCAATTGCCAAATAAGCTATACAAAAAAAGAATATAAATGTTATTTTTTATTCATTTCAAAGGATAAAATAAAATTGTATGGTTTATCTCTTTCCTAGTGTATTCATTTGTATTGGATGGATACATGGTACACTGAAATGTATGAAGTGTTAGAACTTCCAGATGTGGGCAGACTAAATTTACTTATACATCAGGCCAATTTTAATCATCACATGCTCGCAGTTTCAGTTCAGAGAGAATAATTTTCCAACAGGGACAATACTTAAATTGTGATCTAAATGCCCTCACCTGTAAGAGACCAACATCTTCCTTGATGTTGAGCTTGTGCTTTTTCTGAAAAGTATCCAGGTCCCACAGAAGTGTCGTCTCTGATGATGTTGTGACAGCGTAATGGCCTGACATGTGAACAGATATACTGTGGATGGCCGATTCATGCCCTTTCATCAAGGCTACCAGCGACTTCTTTTCTACAACAATACAAAAATAATCTAGGATTAGGATAATCAAATTTCATGTTGATAGAATATTGATTTGAGTCATGAGATTTCGGAGGAGTTTTTATTACTTAAAACTGTACCTAAAACATTTTTTTGGAGAAGATCAGAACAGTGGTTTAGGGCACAGTGGCATACATTGACTAAATGTCAACTAGGGCAAAGTCCCTACAAAAGTATGCCCCCCACCCAAAAAAACCACCAAAAACAAACACACATACATAATTTATGTAATGTTATATTTGAACTCCAAAATTGCCGCCCAGTTCTCCACTTCCTAGGTACATCACTAATCAGACATGAAATGTTTACTCTTGTTATCTGTAGCTGCACATTAAAAAAAAAAGGCCAACAGATATCTAGAAGTAAAAGAACTAGAGATACATATTATGTGACGACCTTAACTATAACTAACCTTCTGTGAGTTGTAAAGCCGACAAGTGACATATTTTATCTATCTTAAGAAAGAGTTACAATGGCAATACTACCTGCATCATAGCACCTGAGTGTGTAATCCCCCAGTGCGACTAAGAACTCGGATTTGTGATGTAGCCCACATGCCAGCGCTGTACATGGCAGGCCAGTCTTTTGGATCTCAGTGTATCTGGAAAGAGCCACAATAAATGTTAACCATTTAAGCTATTATGACTGCTAAACTAGTGAAGGTTACAAAGAGGATAATGTAATTATTTTGAAGAACACAATTGAATATTGTAGCTAATGTCTTAATGAAACTAAATGAAGAGATGCTTGGTTGTTTTATGGTCTGATTAAGGTATGAAACACCAGAGAATAATTGTCTTTAAGATATTTATCCACTTTAATTTTCAATGTTCTTCAGATTCTACAGTTATTTTTATTGCGAGTAGGCCTATAAGATACACACACCTATTCCTAGTTAGGTCAAATAAATAAATGTGACCTTGACTGTCACCAGCTATGAATTTATCACTAGTATTATCAAAGCTGGCTTTCAAGAAAGGAATGTTTCTGGATGGTCCTGTAAAGGGGCCGGTGGCACTGTGCTTCAACTTGATGATCAGACTGAAGATAAAAAAAGTAATAGAACTGGTATAAAAGCAAATATTCTAATTTGTTACTAGATTATATAAAGATTACATGTAATTAAAAAGAAATGTTAAACTTAACTAAATGTAATTAAATATAAAAACTTCCAAGCTGAAGTTGTTAGTGCTGAAATGAATCTTTAAAGAAACAATTACAAAAACTTAAGCTGAAACATCTTACCCATCGTCCTTGGAGGGGCTTGGTTTTCGGTGCCAGATTTTTCCACTTGATTTATCAGAAATTTCAGATTCCATGTTTTCTGTTTTTACTAAAATTACTTTGTTTAAAATTTAGAAAAATTTTAACATGATGCTTCAAAATGATCTAAAAATACAGGATAATATAATCAAACTTTTTTTTAATGTGGAAGTCCAAGGCCACCTCCAGCTCAAGCAGGGGTTAACCTTTTTACAGGACTGTAACACATCTCGATTTCAAAACATTTCCTGCAATATCATCTCGATTTCAAAACATATTTCTTGCAACCCCACAATAAAAAGTGATAATAATATCCAAATAAACCTGATTTTCTGAGGCTTCCCGCACCCCCTGACACTTTGAGCAATCCTGGTTACCTGGTTAAAAACCCCTTACTTAAAGGTAAACACATTCTTATGTGCAGCCTGAGAGAAACTACGAAAAGGAATATTCAAGAAGACTTGGTTGAAATTGTCTTGACAGCCCAACAACACAGTGTACAGCTATATTTGGTTAGTTAGAAAGCCTGAGCAAAAGACTTGGGAAAACCAAAACCAGCAGCTAACTTGGTAAGAGAACAAATTTAGATATTACAGTTTACACTTACACATACCTTCAACCCTCTAGAAACAATGACAATTATTTCAATTACGTTAAATGGATGTTGGAAAGAACTTGTCATTTATGGGGGAACAGGGGGGGGGGGGTCAATTTTTTTATTTCGATAACTTAGTCTTGCGTAAAAAAAAAATTCCACGTTCAATGAATAATATCACTCAGTGAACTCCATGTCTTACTTCAGTTTTTCAACACAATCAAAATTCAAATTCAAAGTAATCAAAATCAGAGATACTTTATACAACTCAACAACTGACAACTAAGAACTAGACTCTTCTAGTGTCAACAGGCTTAACTTATATTAACTATTGTATGTATAGTATAGTACACTTGGTCTAGGTTTATATTTTATCATTTACTTACTTAGATTTATAAAGTATAGTTAATCCCCGTATAAGAAGATTTTAGCAAGCCTTCTTCTCTTAGCTAGGCTATCCCGGCGTTATGAGGCTGCAGCATAATTGAATTGTGACAGGGGCTCTGTAAACTGTAAGGCCGAATTTATTTCAGATAAAAAAGACAGTGAAACACCATAATTATTAAGTTTTAAGTAACCGAGACTGAATTTATAATTTGTTCCCTGATTTGTAATCATTTAAATTGCCCTTTGGCATGGCATCGGAGATACCTTATAAGATAATTAATTACTAAGAGAAACTGAAGGAAGTGTTGCTGTTCCTGTTTATTTACAATTTTTAAATAACGTGTTCAGACTTGGCGGATATTGTTGAAGTTATGAGCGATTACCATCAATCAGAAACAATATTAACAAAACAAAATGTAATCAAATATTTATTTTTTGAAATGTTCGATGAAAATTGAGATATTAAATTGCTTAAACGTGAAATATTTTTGGTATTTTTGACAAATTAATAGGAAAATAGTTTTTAAACAAATGTAAATAATATTTCAGTGTTCGATTCTTCGCCCTTTGCCTTTATCAAATCCAAATATTTGTTGTGGTTACTAATTAAAATGCGAATTTTTTTTTGTTTTTACAAGAAGAAAAAAAAGCAAAAAGCAGTTCACATAAAATATTTTTTCCCCATTAAATTTAAATGTTAAAATTATGTTTTTAAATTAAATCATATTATTTTTTAACCATGCTAAATAAAATTTTATTTGGAAAAATTATTCTTGTAATTATTTTATTTTATGTTATTTTTTTTTCTGAAACTTTTACGGGTCCATATTTTGTTACAAATACTTAAGTTTTAGGTCAGGCCTGCACAACATACAGCCCGCGGGCCGCATGCGGCCCGCCAGCACCCATTTTGCGGCCCGCCAAGTAACGAAATATTTTTTATTATTATTATTTTATTAATATTTCTATTTTCTTTCGGCCCGCACACGTTTTTCATACAGTATTGCGGCCCACCTTTCATTTTGAGTTGTGCAGGCCTGTTTTAGGCTATTTTTTAAAATCCAATCCATTTCCCTTGTCAACAATCAACTTTCAAGGATAGCCTTAAAAATTATTTCAAAATATGTTTACACTTTAAACCCCAATAAATAAATAACATCTATTTTGAATGCTTAGTTAAAAACAGAAAATGTAGGAAAAGTGGAATTGTTTCACCATTAATTCATGTTCATCAAATTAAACATTTTAACGCTTACCAGCCACGGTCTATGTCTAGAGTAGGCCTACATTTATATTGTCAATCGTAGAATTAATTCAAGAACTTTCAAGGGCTTTTTAATATTATTGTTAATAAGTTTACTATATCTATTTGCTCTCATCTACCAGGGAGTTCACCAAATCTTCCGCTTTTGTAATTTTGGGCCTAGTTCTAGTAGTTAGTAGCCGATTCAGCATTGGCATAATTTATTGTTGTGGAACTTTAAATATCAGCTTTTCCCCCATCGTCTCATTCTGCTTTTTATAGCAATGCTAATTGCAGATGTCTTTAAAAAAACAAAACAAAAAAAAAACAAAACAAAACAGGCGAAGAATCAGTGGCGATGTATTGGAGCCTTATCATAGATTTTTTCCTGTGTCTCACAAAGCGATTTTTTAAAAATCTGACCTTCTGAATCTTTGGTGGTCGCATGAAAATTTATAAATGTTATATTAAACATTTTTCCTCGCACACGCAAAGAGCACGGTATTTCATGGTCTGGTTTCAAACCTATAACTGCACCAATGGCTTCTTTCTTCACTGCAAATCCTGTACCAAGAGTGTTATTGTTGTTGCCACTATAACATATGGTGTAGATTTTTGTCTTGAGGATGTCTGAATTTTTCCTTCAAATTTCTCGCCATGCAGCACTAGAGATGTTAGATTTAACTCATTGATCTATTAGGTCGGCTAAGGCTCCTGCTCTAAACGGGCTTAGTACATTCCAAATAGCAATCCAAAAATCATGTCCATATCTAAGATTTCCATTAGAATCAGTCCGAATTTTATTCACTTATTTGGCTTACATAACGTTTATTATTATTATTATTATCTTACATGGATGGGTTGTTAGCCCTGCGCACAACCGTCTGGAAAAGTGTGTGTGTATGTGTGTGTGTGTGTGTGGAGGGGGGGGGGTTACAGCTCTCTGGGTAGCTGCCTTAATTTTCGGGTAACATTCCTTAGCCTTTGTGGATCCCTCCACTTCCTACAAAACGGTAGGTTCTGTGGATCCCTCCACTTCCTACTAAGCGGTAGGTTCTGTGGATCCCTCCACTTCCTACAAGACGGTAGGTTCTGTGGATCCCTCCACTTCCTACAAGACGGTAGGTTCTGTGGATCCCTCCACTTCCTACAAGATGGTAGGTTCTGTGGATCCCTCCACTTCCTACAAGACGGTAGCTTCTGTGGATCCCTCCACTTCCTACAAGACAGTAGGTTCTGATTTTGGTCCGCCCCGGGTATTGTATTTCCCCAGTACCCTCCATATCTGGTGGGCTTTCCCCTATCCGCCAGCTGGGGAGAGGGGCTCGGTGGAAGATCAAGTATCTCCGTATGAGTTATTTGGTCCTCACTGCAATTGGAGAGCTCAGATGGGGTACAATGAATTAATTATCTGAATAGTAAAAGTAGACTTAAAATGCTGAACTTGAATTTCGTTAATTTTATGAGTTCCAAGAGCGACCATAACTTCTAGTGGCCTGTATACATAATTTGACAGATTATTATCTGTAATATGGGCCGTTATAAATCAGTAAATGGTATTGTCGTCGGCAGTGTGCGTGCATATCTTCCCATTACTATTGTTAAAATAAGAACTGAGGGCTGTAAGACAAAATGAGGTATCAAATGAAAGATAATTGAATGGACTATATGTTTGTAAACTTACTTCTTCAGTTTAACTAAAATAAACTACCACGGCCACAGGCACAATACTAAATAGTACAACAAAATAATGTGTTTAAAAATAAATTTGAAGCAAAATTTTAACGTAAAAACTGAAGAAAAAAAATTATTCGACCAAATTTCCGTTCGATCAAATTACCGTCGATCAATTTACCGTCAACGAAGTTTCTTTCGATCACCACCTCTGTCAGCGAAAACAACAAACAAACAAACCACAGAAGACATACCAAACGGTAATTTTAGTAACACAGTAAATCAACGGTACACATCAGTTTCGGATTATTCTCCCAATATTTATTTCATCTTGTGATAAAAACAGAGACCTAACCCATTTCGTGTAACTTTCATTGGGAACATTCGAAAACCTGTCAGCCAATTTATCCCCTTTGGGGGAAAATACGTGGATTCGAGCTTGGTCTTGGTCTTGACTTTCCTTGTTTGCCAGCCGCGCTGGGTTTAGCCGATGCTGGGGTCACTGCACTGCCGGAGAGCGCTTCCGGGGTCACTTGGCTTTTCTTGTCGGATTTCCGATTTCCCTGGATGCCGAACTGGTCGACGTTGAACGGGACTCTTCTGGTCACGTCCCCTTGTCGGAGCCTCCTCGGGGCCGACCTGGTGGTGGCGTTCACCAACGCCTTCTGGGTTTGTAACTGACGCTTCACGATATGTTCACTCTCCAGAGAGCGCTTCCGTCCGTTGACGATAGGAGAAGCGATGGAAGGAAAGGGTGGTATGACCGGAACCCCATTCCAATTTGGTGGAAGAAACGGTACCGGTGGTGGTGGTGGTACAACACCGCCTCTCCAGTCACCACCGTGCCTTTCGTGGGAGCCCCTCCCGCCATTTCTGTGTCGATGTCTTTCCCTGCGCCTCGAAAGGTGTCGGGCCTCGGTGTCAGCTGCGGCCCTGCCCGCCCTCACCGCTGACATTTCGGCCGGAGGTTCATGCCCGGCGTCTTCGACAAGGTTTTTGACGTGCTCGGTTAGGAATGCCAGCAGAAGATGGTTCAGCTCGATGTTGTCGTCCCGTTGGAGAGGCTCGGTGGTCGGAGGTTTTCGGGAGATCGCATCCGCTATGTTCCGGACTATGTCTTCATTTTCAAACAGATCGCTGCACTTGATGCCTATAGTGGAGCAATAACAATTTTTAAATTTTATTATTGAAAGTGCTTTAAATAGAAGGGAATTAAAAAAATTGAAATTAGACCATTAATTTTGGAATTTAAAAAAATGAAAATTAAATTTTAAAAGAAACAATAAATAAACACAGAGGTAGAAAAAGATGGACTCCAGTTTATGAAAATAATAATCATCTATGTATAACTACTGCAAGACACACAATTAAAAAAAATATAACAAAAATAAAATTAAAAAAAAAAAAACCTGTAAACTCTGAAAAAACAAATATGATTCACTTTGTCCATGATGTAGTTTGACATCAACAGATTTAGCGATGGGAGAAACTGAACGCTATATAAGTAGGGTAATGTTACATTTAAGTAAAGACAGACCCGGGTTAAATTGTCGCTCTCCCTCCCCACCCAACCGGTCGTAAGTGCCCGATGGGGATTCAAATAGTTAATACATTGTTTCAGCGTCCACCTCACAAGAGAGCGTCAAATTTTCTCCCACTCAGAGAATGTTACAAATGGTATCTCAGTCTTAGGATTAAAAAACAAAACAAAAAAAATTTCACAGAGGTTTACTATTCCTACATGTGGAGCAGGTCGTGGTATCCAGTGGCTGATTATCTTTCGGGTTGGGAGGATGGAAGTGGACGATAAATATACGGCAAATAATCTTACTTATATCAGTATAGTATCAGGTGAAAGATGCGCCCGGGGCGCAATATTAAATTTTCACGCCCTCCTCTGAAAGATGCATGTATGTTTGTTTGCATAAAATAAATACTTTTTAAAACCACCCCCCCCCATAGAGGCACCCGGGTCCTATGCCCCGTCGCCCCTCGTTTAGGACGGCTATGCCATTAGTCCGACAGGCATCAAAATGAGTTCATTTGGTGTGGTGACAGCTCTCTGTTTACATTAATGCCTTGAATCATTTCTCACCGTTCTGTTTTGCTTTGGTACTCACTGTTACGCCAGGGTCGACCGAACCATTCAGCATTATAGGCATGTGCTTGATGGAATCGGGAGACACGGAGCAGCACACACACAATGTACATGGATAACAACATCAAGACTGTTTAATCAAAACACAATAATAAATACATGCAACTAAATGCAGGGGTCAAGTCCTGGCGAAAAGTGTGGGAACTCACCCAAGAACCCCCCCCCCCCCGACATAAATAGGTATATTTAGTTTATATGGATAACAACATCAAGACTGTTTAAACAAAACAAAATAATAAAAACATGCAAATAAATGCAGGGGTCAAGCCCTGGCGAAAAGTGTGGGAACTCACCCAAGAACCCCCCCCCCCCCGACATAAATAGGTATATTTAGTTTATATTTCTTGGAAAAAGTACAGGAACAACGTTTCAATAGTAGGACTCGAGCCATGGGTTCAAAATCTTATAACCCATAAAATTGGTAACGTTGACAGTCAGCATGTCCATCGCCATGAATACCAAACAAAAAAAACAAAAAAAACAAAAAAAAAACAGCTGTAAAAACTAATAGCCAATAAGATACAGTATTTAGCATTCATTTTTAGATTGCATTTTTTGGAATGCGTGTTTAACAAAAGACCGGAGAAGTACGGACAATGAAATAAATCTGTAGATATAGCCTACCTTCAGCCAAGCTGGACAACTTCTTGAGCAGCTCGCAGAACTGTTCTTCGGTGAGGACTCGAACATCGGCACCCTCTGGGCTCTGTTGAGACAAGAACATCGGGAGAGGCGCCATGAGGCACAGCAAGAAGAGCGTGGACGATGCCATGGTAGCTGGACAGCGACCTAAACTGCGCTCACGTAACGAAATCTACAACGCGCGGATACACTTGTGGAGGACCTTTCTACGACGACCAGAAAATGCAAGCTTAACGTTGCATGTGGCCAGATTTTATTGGTTTACTGTCAGGTGTTGATACTGATTTGGAAAATAAAAATAATTTTAAAAAAGTAAATCGTATGTTGTGCGTGGTGTGGGGAAGGGGTACAGTGGGACCGTTCACTTACTCTCCACAAGATAACAATAAAAAAAAAATAAAAAAAAATAACAGTTTAACGAATTGTACAAGTTATCGGACTTTAACATCGACCCCCCCTCTTATGTACGTGAAAAACATAAAGAAGCAAGCGGTGACGTCATGCTTCCGAACGTCTATGGTCCAGGTGTTGAATGTTTCACTGAAATTTGAAATAGTAAGGGGTCATTCGATTCAGGGCCGTGGCAAGCAAAAAGCTTCGCCCGGGACAAACCATGGATGTATGCGCCCTACTCCTAAAAAAAAAAAAAAAAAAAAAAATTTATAAAAAAAAATTTTTAAAAAGAAAGAAGGGGGGGGGGGGGGGGGGGGGTCAAGTCCTGAGGTAAAGGGTGGGAACTTACCCCAACCCCCATCTCCCCAATGGCTTTTACTAACGCTGTGTTCAACAGACACGAAAAAAAAAATAATTCCCAGACGTTTGCACTAAATGGTGTTCTTGTAAAGTGCGAAGCTTGAATGCGCTATTTTGGCGGGCTAATTCCCCGGCATTATGCAACAATTAATTATTCAGTCATAAAATGAAAGCGTTCTTTGTTTATTTCAGTGTCATTATTTTATGCCACTCTTTCTATTTGTCATCGAAAGACACGGTGTCGTTTGGGCACAACCTACATGGGTAGCCATAACAAGGGTCGTGAAAAGGAGTGGGGGTCTAATTGGTGGCTGCCCACAGGCGATCAGGGTTTCTTTCAGCTATATCTCCGGGGGGGGTAGGCTTATATTCCCTGGCACAGGAAGGTGGGTTGGGGGGGGGGGGCGCTCCGCTAGTAAGCTCACTTAAAAAAATTAAATAAAAGAGACTATTTGGGGGGGGGGCATTTTCGGTCAAAAGCTACCAAATAAAGGTAATTAATAAAACACAGAGCCATAATTTTATGCTGAAAACTAATTTCATTTATGTGTTAATATTATTTTTTCAAAAATTGTTCTTGGGGTAAGAGGGTGGTTGGGTGGGGTAAGAGGGTGGTTGGGTGGGCCCCCCCCCAACCCATCACACGGGCGTGGCATCCCATACGTATCTGCGATAAGGGTGGAGTTGTTCCCCTTTGGCTGAGTTTTCAAATGATACACTACCAGATTCGAATGTTTAAGTTCAAGCCAATCTAGCTAAATTATTGCTGTAGGTTATATAATTATAATATTTAGAGTGTTTTAAAAATACATTTTTGGACAAAAAAATCATCTGGTGACATAAACAAACATGAAATGCCATTTAAAAAAAAAAAAAAGAAGAATATCTGTTTACGAGCACAAATATTAAAATAAATCTATTGTGGTGAAGATATAATAGTTTAATTGAAAAATCGAGGGAGTGGGTATCGGTAAGTAAATTTTACAAGCTTGATAACGTTATAAATTGTATTCAGACAAAACGTTATCAAAATCAAGGGGGTGGGGCGTATGCTCCTCCTTGATTCCCCCCTTCCCCACCTCTGCGGACGCCCAAGGCGGCATTTTCAACCAAGTGCTGAGTTTTTAGTTGAAAGGAGCCCGAAAAAACAACAACCCCACTATGCCCACCCTGGGCAGGGGGGGGGGAGGCATACTAAGCGCGTCACTTGAATGCACGTGTCGTCAGGTGTCTTTAGTTCAGTTGACACATTGCCATTACGTGGCGGGTCACAACTACAACAAGCAAATAATATATATATTGTCTGATTTTTTTATTCTGTCATGAATGTCTTGTTGAGTTCAACCCATGATTTTGTCTTGAGTTTAACCCATGATAAAGCTTAATTTTATGTGAAGCAGTGCAGCTAAGCTCATCTACGCATTTCAAAGCACTCATGTTTTTTCAAAAGGTATTTATTTCGCATTTAACCAGTCGTTAGCACTTGAAAAGACAATGAAATTTGTATATTTATATATAGTTTTTGAGAGTATTACTTGAAAGGAGGTGGTGGGGCATGAAGGTCATACTGAATTAGTGAATTTGTCCTCATGTTCTGTCAAGCTCATATAGTACGTCAAAGAGTCATTTGCGACAATATATATATATATATATATATATATATATATATATATATATATATATATATATATATATATAAAAAAAGAGTGTGAGGTAGATAGAGAAAAAATAATAAAATAAAAAAAAAAAAAAAAATATATATATATATATATATATATATATATATATATATATATATATATATATATATATATATATATATATATATATATATATATATATATATATGAAACAAGCGTGGGACGTGGATAGTGAAAAAGTATTAAAATAATAACAAAATAAAACACGAAACGAAATTGTAAAATTCTTTTTATTTTTGTATTTTCACATGTTTATTTTATTTACAGATTAAATACCTGCCCAGAAAAATCAGCAAGTAGATGGAGACACTTGGCTTCATATGTATATCTATCATTACAGGATCATTTTCATATATATCTATACATCATAACAGGATCATTTTCATTTAAGTGTTAAAGAAATATGTACAACAATGCTTTTTAAACAAGACTTGTGACAATGAACATATCTTTCATGGTCCCTAACAAGCCATATTTTTTTTTAATTTATGGCCTACTTGGATGAGGGTGGAAGAGGTTGCTTGGTCGTTAAAGGTGATAGGGATACCGGTGGTGAAGGTGATAGGGATACCGGTGGTGAAGGTGATAGGGATACCGGTGGTGAAGGTGATAGGGATACCGGTCGCTCTCAATATGAGACCACCGACACCCAGCTAATGATTAATGAACCCCCACCACAGTATATCTTGAAAGATGGTAAAATCATGAAACTATGATCTCAATGCTCACATACCATCTCAGCCAATCACCTACGAGTTATGTGGCGTGTTGATAGGATTATACCCAACCATCTCGTCATGTGTTGTAGTGAGATCATTAGCTACATGTGATTCTCTAACTCAAGAATCTCATCGCACAATAACTTCATACATTTTTCAAACTGAAAACAGCGATGTATAATACATATTTACAGAACTAAATTGATGCACATGATAAAGAAAATACCCATATGATGGGAACTGTTTTGAGACGTTAACATCGAGAAATCTAAATTTTATTTTAACTTTGGTACAAAGTTAATTTTTTAGCATAGTGAGCTATTAATTCAGTGAAGCTGCTAAGTCAGTGGAGCCACTGAATTATGTCACAGCTTACAGCCAACAACAAGCTATTTTTAGAAATGTCTATTGAACATTGTATTTAGCCTGCTATTTATTCACATTGAACATCTGGCTTGAAGAACAGTCTCTTTGTGGTGCTACCAGGCTCTGAAGGACCAGACCATGCACAAAAACAGCTTTGAACAACAAAAATTGAGTACCAGAAGAAGAAACGGCATTCCTGAAATTGAGAATTGTTCAGCCTCACATAAATACAAAAGTAATATCAGGATTGGCAAGAGATGAGTCAACACATGAAGGATACATGATAATGACATATTTCACATAAATGAATGGTCATTTCTAAGGATTTCTTTCAAAGAATTCATCAGTTAGTTCACACATCTAATTGATGACAACACCATCACCATGTATCTAAATGTACAAGTGACGAGTTAAGGGAGATAAGCCATAAGATCCACTCTACAACTGTATCTAACTATTATACTCTCCCTAAACACAACCCAGTTATTTTGTAGGAACTTAATAAATAAATACATAACAATTTAAAAATTCATTAAATTCAGTTTTGAACTGCACTACAAATAAAGATAAGTTGATTCCCTATATGTGTCTTTACTTATATTATAAATAAAAAATAAAACCAAGAAATACATATTTAGGTCAATCTTCTACCAACAACAGAAATAAAACCATGTATTTTTAATCACACCTTAAAAAGTGACATAATGTAATTACCTCCACAATATAGATTCTATATAACAACTAAAGATAAAAACTAATCATCATAATTTTACTTTTAAAAAGCTGCCATCCTAACAATCATAAATGTTTGTGTTATTAATCATGATAGTTTAAACACATTATTAACACGCGTCAATACAATTCACTAGCTTTTTTATTAAATTCTTCTTGGTGTTGGAAACCAATAAGAAACATATCATTCAAAATAAAAATTAACCCTACTTATATTTAAATTCCAGTTAAGAGTACAACATTCTAAAACTCTCTTAATCTAAAATATAAATTTAAACAGGGGTGGGACGCTATCTGACTAAATGAAACGGCCACTTGAAAAACTTGCTCATTAGCTTTCTGTTCATTCATTTAATCAAAAAAATCTATTATAGTTAATCAACTTTATATATCAAAAATAGCCTTCATAGTTTTGTTCAGATGACATAATAGACTAAAATGAAGGTTTTGACGCACTAAATACAAAAAATACAGCCAAAGTCGATAACACATATAAGTCAACTTAGCAGGTTTTGTATGAGGCATTCTCAAATCGATGGCCTAGGTTCTGCAGCTTTTTACAACAGATGGAAAAAAAATTAGGAAATATTTACAAATCGTCCACACAGACAGGAGCTCTAAATGGGGACAGCTGCAATGACAAAACTGGATGACCTAGACCATCAAGTGCAATTTGACATGTCATGCCCTAACAACCAACAACCACAGAGTCAGGTGAACTCTTCCAGTTTGTTTCAGCCGAGCTCTTTCAAAATAAATTAAAATAGAAACTTTAAAATAAATGTTCTGTGAGTTTGTTGTAGGGACAATAGAAATGTTGACATTAGCGCGATGGTCAGCAACAATTATTTGTTAACATGATGCCACCAAGGCCATCTGACACAAACAGCTGGAGATATTTCAAGTGACCGTCCCACCGATGACCTGGGGATGTCTGTGTTTATAGGCACTTGTTTAAACTGTTGGCATGAATTCTTCACTAAGATCAGCTGGTGCTTTCCAATGACGAAATCTGACTGCTACTCAAGGGAGAGCACTAACCAATGCCATTTAAAAAAAAAAAATATTTTGCTATATACATTTTGAAGAAGATCTGCCATACCAATAAATTAAAAGTCTTATCGGAGACATGCCAAATAAAAACACATACATTCAAATAAAAAAAAACAACATTGCAAAATTTTCTTTAACTGCTTGGACACTTAAAATGTTAGTTCTACAACTTTTACATCATATTTAATTTCAGTAAGTAACTCTTTTGACTTTGCTATATCATTAAAATTTTTATATCTGTCTAAAAAATTTTTTTCATATATTCAGTCATTCAAAAATTTCTTTACAATTCTTTCAGCGGGCTCTTAAGAAATCTGATCCACACAGTATATAGGAAATTTTCTCATGCAATATCGATTCTGCTTGCAACTAAATCTCTGCATTTATTCAGTCATGGATTTTCATAAAAATTGGATAAACAACACATCACTCTGCTCACTGACTAGCTTATTTCCTGCACAAGGCAGTATGCAGTTGATGGTTTCAACACTTGAAACAAAAGAATTTAATTGTGTAAAATGCTACTCAAAAATTGTATTGAGTTCACTTGAATGTTGGTACTGGCCGACTAGAATTATTCCGATGTCTGAAAAGGGGGAAAGTGTCTTTAGATGACTGCAGCCAAACCTCCCAGGGCAAATAAGGCAATGATGACACAGACCACTAAAGGCACATAGAACTTTGGGTTTTGAAAAGATAGTCGATGTGACCTGCGGGAAACCTGCAGAATACAACAATCAGGTTAGAAAATGGTTTTAAAAAAATCCACTAAACCCATAAATTAAATTGCCAGTAATTTTTTTAAGGTACAGCCCAAATTAAGACTGGATGCCAATTTCATCAATATATCTTAGTATCTATGTTGGTGATTTAAAATATTTGGGTTGGTAAAAAATCTTACCAGGACCAGTGAACATAGTAGTAATTAAAAAAAATACATGATGCCCTAGAAGCTTAAATTAGGAGTTAATTAACTGCAGAGTTTTTTAAGGAAGGAAAAAAAAAAATCTTAGCTATGCCAAAGTACTCAAGGTGGCTTGGTTCTATTATTGGAACTGAACGGAAGTCCATCCCTAAAGATTAATAACCCCTGAGCACTGATATTGTTGTACTCATAAATCTTGTGTGTTAATGAAAATAATGTGCTATGCCCCCCCCCTACACCCCCCCCCATATTAAAGAAATAAAATAAAATTGACCATACCCTACTTTCTTAACTGGTGCTGAGCCCACAACCAAATGTTGCACTTGAAAAAAATCATTACCTGTCCCTGTGAGAAGCTTTCCTCATCAGCAAGCCTAGAGTGACCAGGGATCACGTGACTAGCCTCTGGATCATTTCTCATGGTGCCTCCTAAAGATACCGGCCACAGAAGTGCATCATTTGTGGGGTCGGGGGTGAAGTCGCTGAGTTGGAGGTATTTGCCTGGAACGTACGTGCCAGGCGTAGAGCACTCGGATATTAAATCCACATCATCGTAATACGGTTTGTCTCCCGTTGAACACATGTCGTACAGGTTCAAATGAAGTCTGCTGGAACTGAAAGCAGAGCGCGTGTTGTACACACCCATGACGTCACTGAAATCATCGTGGTCATTGTTTGAAGCATTGTCAGCGTATTGCATATCCATAGTTTTTTTTTTGTTCTCTTTTGTTTGTTTTTGTTGTTGCAGGAGATAATGACGTCTAGTGTTTAATGTTAACTATCAGGATACTTGTAAGAAGGTGGCGTCAAAAAACTGAAAAAGACATTAAAAAAATATAAATTACAACCAAAAAAAAAAATGTAAAAAATAATAACATTAAGTGGAATGATAATTATAAATAATAAACTTTTTTAGGATACTGCAAAACAATATTTATATGTCTGAACATTTATTCTTTTAATAAGTTTTTTCTTTTTTTTATAGTTATATATTTTATATATATCTAAAAATAAATTTAAAATGGCGTGTTTCATTTAAATCACAAGTAGATCACACACTTAGTATTCTTAGTTTTTATTTTAAAATGTGTGTGTGTGGGGGGGGGGCAGAGAGAGGTGAAAAGAAAGATAACACATTATGCGGCCATATTGTTATGTGGGTTTTATTTACACATTGAAGCTACAGAGAGAGAGAGAGAGAGAGAGAGAGAGAGAGAGAGAGAGAGAGAAGGGTGTTTGGTTGGGGGGGGGGGTTGACTGTGAAAATGTATGGCGTCATCTTAATTTCACCCCATGACCGAAAAAACCCAATTACTTAGCGTGGCCGCTATGATGGGCCTGGGAGATACAACAGGATTACATAGACTCGAGTGGACGCGGAGGATAGTCGAATGACATCAATGTATTATGTACGCTATCCTTAGTTGCATTAGGGACCGAATCAAGGTGCATGCAACTCGGGCAGTCAGTCACCCGGGGCGCCATCAAAGATCTCCCAAAACAGGAAAAAGCATAGGATGTGGGCGCCATGGGAGAGAAATAGAAAGGGCAATAAAACAAAGACTTGCTGATCTAAAGGCTTTGGGGGGGGGGGGGAATGTCATCGGTAGGTTAATTGTTCATAGTCATACTGTCTGCGGTAGACTAACTGTGTACACGGCATGCGGTAGACTAATTGTGTACACGGCATGCGTTAGACTAATTGTTCATACTACCAACGGTAGGCTAATTGTTCATACTACCAACGGTAGGCTAATTGTTCATACTACCCACGGTAGGCTAATTGTTCATACTACCCACGGTAGGCTAATTGTTCATACCACCCACGGTAGACTAATTGTTCATACTACCCATGGTAGGCTAATTGTTCATACTACCAACGGTAGGCTAATTGTTCATACTACCAACGGTAGGCTAATTGTTCATACTACCCACGGTAGGCTAATTGTTCATACTACCCACGGTAGGCTAATTGTTCATACTACCCACGGTAGGCTAATTGTTCATACTACCCACGGTAGGCTAATTGTTCATTCTGTCCAAATACAAGTTAAGTTATTGTTCATTGTTTCTATTTAAAAAAAAAAATAAATAAATAAAAAACTAGCTAAGAAACTCATTAACTAATCTCCAGTTGTTTCCTTGCAGATATTTTTATGATTTAGACTGTACTTAAAAGGGGGCGCCAGCAACGGTTGTGGCACCCCTGGTTACATGCAGGACATCCGAGTCATGTACACTGAAGTTACTTGCGTAAACTTGCGTTAAAAGATCTTTAAGTGTATCTAGTTTACGACACACAAAAAAAACCGACCAAAAAAACAAGATGTTTTTCAAGAGTAGGCAAACCACTTTATGGTGTCGTTGACGTCACGCCACAGAGTGTCCACAGTCCACGGCTGAACCCCCGCACTGCGTGACGAAACGAACGTGTAGTGTCAACCAAGGGCGGTAATGGGGAAACTAAAGCGGGGTAACTGTCGCAGGGCAGAGGAATGTCAAAGTCAAGGGATTTACCAAAGAATCGCAAAGACAAACATTATCAAAGGCTAGCTCCTTGGTGTCGGTTTCGTCCCTCACTTTATACCAGGGCAGTTAGATGCTATGGGCTAATGACCAGTGGTTCCCAAACTTTTAAGTTTTGCGGACCGGTGAACAGGTTTCGAAATTTTGCCAGGGACAGGTGCATGATTTATTTTTATACTTTTATTTCTATTTGACCATAAATATTTATGTTATGGGGACCGGCAGCGTTAGGCGTGCGGACCGGTGAAGGTCCACGGACCGCCATTTGGGGACCACTGGGTTAATCCATAACAAAAAAAGTTCATAGAGGCACGGGGCACCAACGGACTAGTTGCATTGCCGAATTTATTAAAAAATAAAAAACTTATCTTGTCGGGTTACATAATGAATTAATCCTTACATTTGCATTACATGTTCATCATAATGTTCATAGTCATAATGAGACTTTGTCTCTATGTTTCAGTGCTAAGAAGAGGGTAGTAGAAGTATTTCACCAACTGCCCCCTGTTTACCCCCCCCCCCCCAACTAAATGTTCATAAGTATTTTCATTATTACTCATTTCAAATTATACCAAAATTCTAGTTAAAAAATGTTACTAGTCTGGTAGACCAAGAAATTCAGGGCCGTTAAACACCCCGACAGGTGCAAGTAAACCAGTGTCCGAGAAACAGACGTCCAAAATAGGCCAGTGAAACTGAGCAGGTGGCTTGACGTCTGCCACCTGACAATGAACAATTCAAAGGTGACGACACCTCGAAAGTCGAGCCGGAAACGTAAACATCTGGCCCTCAGTGGGGGGAAGCGGAAAAAAAAGAGGGGGGGGGGGTTGGTAAACACCGGTCAGCTGGCCAGTGTTCTGGAATCTCAAAATACCAAGGATTCGGATCTGAGAGTCATGCGAATCCAGACAAGGGAATGAATGATTGGGACAAGTAGTTGGGATAAGCTTTCAAAAAAACCTGCCATTATTAACTGTATAATTTAAGGTATACATTTAATACCGTTCTGGGTGTTAAAAAAATTCATTTGTGCCATTTAAAGCAGGATGACGTTACCTTTAACAACAACAACAAAAAAACAACAACAAAACAAACAACTTCTTACCAGAATCAAAATAAAAACATGTTGGCCAATTACTGCCTTAGTCAATAGATGATGTGAAACAACATTGTCCTATTTACACCCTCATACGTATACCGTACTTTCACGCCCCTTACCCAAGGAATAAATACACCATAACAAGAATAAGAACAAGTCTGTAACACACAATCACACTCTAGCTATCAACGGGATTCAGTGGTTGAAAGGACAAGATTTTCTATGGACGGGGCGCTATGAAAACGTTAGATCTGAATCGCCGGCGAAAGAGGAGATTTTAATCAAGTGAAGTAAATCATAGTAACTGGGTGAAGGAATGCCCCCATTGTATCACGGAAATGACAATTTAAAAAAAAAACGTGAATGGAGTTCATATCTTTGTATCTTGTGTACTTGTATGGAAATAAAAGTATACATAAGAGTATTGGAGGTGGGCAGGTGGGTCAGGATGTATGAGGTTATGCTCAGTGCCGTCTCAAGGCATGGGCCCGGTGGGCACTGGCCCAGGGCCCCCGCGCTTGTAGGGGGGCCCCTAGTTTCTAGGGGACTCACTATTGTAGGGGCATCATGCTTTACATATTTTTAATAAATATTGAACGATTTTGACAAATCAATTCGATTTAAAATTCCCAATTTCCCAATTGTAGCCCACGATATAGCACATTCCAAAATTAATATCATAAATGCATATTAAAGTTAGACATTTAAAAAAAATTTTTAAAGGGGAATAACTCTCATCAACAAGTTTTACTTTCCCCAGATATGAATCGAAAAAAAATTAGGTAATAATCAGCTTCGCAGTACAATGAGACAAAAAACGTTTCTCAGTCATATGCATGGAAAATAACATCCTCAAGACCATTGACTTTAATCCAAAAATTAAACAATTCTCTGCAAAAAAAAAAAAATTACGTATAAGATTATGTTGATTCATATTAAGTAATGTATTCTATCTCTCTGTCAATAATAATGATGTATCAACCTCTGTGATTATCTATAGCTTATTTCTGATGTTTTATAACTATTATTGATTTTGAATGATTTTGTTTTTTTTATCCATAAATTAAATTCATCGAAGTTTAACTTTATTGAATGTTTAGTTTTACTTTATATCTTTATTCCTCTTGGTGAGTTGGTGGGGAGCAGGATCTGTTTGCCCCCCCCCCTCCCCCACACTGTTTGAGCATGGGGGCGAATGCCCCCCTTTTCACGGCCCAGGTATGTAGTGTTGCTAGATGGCACCAGTGCCTTACTAATAACATATTATAGTCTAGCTGGTTTGGTATGGTGGAGACTCAGTGGGTCTCAGCCTGTTGATAAGCCTAATATCTCCTCTATATATAACAATACACTAACCATTTTTTTAAAATGCTCACAACTAATTGTCTCAATTGTCCACGAAATGTACCGGTATATCAACTTCAAGAAACAATAAATAACGCAATATTAAATTATTAATTTCAGGTGCCATCATGATCATGTTAAGAATAAACCCACTTAATCTGAAACCGTATCAGTCAGCATCTTTAACTTTCACCTTTTTCAACAATAGAATAAACATAACAATGAACAATGACTCATTGATTCAATGAGAAGCCACTGAGACTGAGTGAAGGACAAGACTACGGTATTCCAAAAAAAAAAAAAAAAGAACTAAACAAATTTCGCATTTTTATGTGTAAAAATATATATTGTAATGCATCATAACCATATCACGGGGAAGAGTAAGAAATGTACATTACACTAACGGAACATATGTGTCCAAGTCCATTACCTGTTCATTACCAAGTTAAAAAATTTCAATACTCCACATGAGAGTGATGATAACACAAAGAACAGATAACTCCACGGTGAGTCACCTCCCCCATGGTACAAGGGGCACTGACCCTATTAGCGCTCTATCAAATTCACTACTGGTGGATGTAATTTTGTCGAGTGTGTCTGGGCCAAAGAGATCAGCAAGTTACACACTACACGTTCTTGTTGGAATACGTTCACATATGATATATTCAAGATAACATTTTACGGGGGCCTGTAGGTTAGTTTGGGATTGTGGGTCGACAGTATACCTATCGACATCCATTCTTTACAAAAAAAAATATTTTTTTTTAAGCTCGCATGACTGAATGCAAAAAGATAGACAAGATTCCAATGACCATGCACGAATTAAAAACGTCACATCCTCATCTTGTAAACAGAGCTTGAGTAGATCCTTTCTATACTGGACCAGTGTAACAACATAACCTTTTCATCTTGACGGACCAGCAGGAATAAATTATTATCATTAAGTTGATTAAGGGAATAATATTTATTCCCAATCTATAATGACTTGTTCAATTTACTGTTATCTATCGATCTTCTTAAAGTTTAAACTTTTGCAGACCAGCGATCGACTGACAACACGGATGCATACTACCTTATATTAGATTAGAGGCAAGCCTACATCAGGCACACCATGCCTTAAGTATTACTTAACAACCTTACGACTTTAAAAAAACAACTCAAAACACATACATAGAATTGAATTGACTACAGGTAAATAACACTACGTATCTTTAATCGTACCTAACTAAATCATTGTCGACGTATAAAAACAGAACTGATAGTCCTGATATTCAGTGATAGATTGATTTTTTTAAATAGATAAAATAGACAAAATAAATTAAAAATGTATTCCTACTAAGAAAAAGAAATGTGCTTACCTCCTGGTGGATTGTATTATTATATAACTCCTCAAGTTCTTTTTAGCTTTTACAAACAGAAACAAGTTAAAATAAGAAGTAAAAAATCCTCTTCGTTTGGCCACCGTGCTAATAACCAAGACAGCTGCGTCGTCTGCCTGAGTGAGATCTGGTTGGAATGAGAACAATTTCGTGTGGTGTGTGGGACCGCGGAGTGGGGGAATGTCTCGGCACCCGCTCGCTTGCAGTGTTGTTGTCACAAAGCTTGGCAGTCCAAGTGGATACAAAAATAGCTAAGGGGATCTCCGCACCAATGGGGGGGGGGGGGGGGGGGGGGGAAAAAAAAGGAAACCAGGGACAATTTAAAAAAAAAAAAAAAAGGGGGTTTGTTTGGTCAGTGGGTCTCAATCTAATCTCTACATCTTACTTTATGAACTGTTTCATAAACTAATGACAACAATTTGTACTCACAATTTTTTGCATACCATATTTATAAATGAATGAGTATATATCATTTGATGACATAATTTCCATATTTGTTAAGGACGAAAAGAAGTACACTGGCTTTAACTACCCGGTAGCACTTACCACTTACCACTTACCACTTACGACTTGTTTATGATCAACATTCGCAAAACCATCTATCGAAAATATTCTGCGTCATTTTGCTGTTTGTTTCTTTTGTTGTTGTTGTTTGTTGTCTTCTAAAGTCGTCGCATCTTATCCAATACTTTAAACACATTTAACCACCATTTTAATGACACAATGACATTGAGGGGATTGGAAGAAAGTGGATGGTGTTGGGTGGGGGGTGGGGTGCTGGTGTGGAGAGTGCCGCCCGCTTTTATAAAGAAGTTTATAAAATACAGTTTATAATAATGCCCTGTGAATCGTATTTAGGAAAAAACAAATCTGTCCTCATTCAAACCAGAAAACTGAATCAGGAAGAGAGTTACCTCCCACCCACCCCTTTTTCTAACAAAAACCCAACAAGAGCAGAATTTTTTTTTTTTTTTTTTCTTTATGAGGAGGGGCAGAATTTTTGGGCAACTGCAAAAAAATTTTTTTTTTCTTGAAAGGTGGCGGAAAAATTCTTGGTCCGTCCCGGGTGGCACAGACTATATCCCTAGCTACGCCACTGCATCGTGGCCATAATAAGTTCAAAGTTCTCGTTTAGACATTCTTTACATCCGACCCTCAGAGTTTGCTTGCCTGTGCTCCACGTTGGAGTGAGAATCCCTCTCCACGTTAGCTGAGCAGGATGAACCAGGCGTGAACACACACACGGTGTTGTGGTTGCTGTCAGTACAGACAAGCTGACGAACGTTATTCAATCTTGAAACTGAACGAGGGTCGTGAATGGAGAGGAGTGGGGGGGAAAGGAGCTTTAAACGTCAGCCTGGTGACGTAACGGATGCACTGGCTCTAAAAATAGCGATCCGGAAGTAAGGGAAGCACGTTGTTTCCCTAAAAGTTATTTTTAGTCACGTTATTAAAATGAGCCCCTATTTCTTGATGTGGTTGCGCTGAATTATAATGGGAAATTTCAGAAGTGAAGTATCCTGGTAAATCCATAAATAAACACAATTGTTATCTAACCTAGGTAAGGGGGAAAACTACATGCGTTTGCAGGAAATATTTTGTTATTCGGGAAAACGAATGTGACACTTTATTTATAAATGATACATAAATACTTCAAACAAACATGGATTATAAATTATAAACAATTCAGTAACATCTTTAAAAAAATAATGTTTGTGTCCAAAGAGATTTTTCCATAACACACAAAAAATTAAAAAATAATAATTTAAAAACAATATTTTTGACAATTTTGATTAAAAAATTCTACTTGTCAAAATAAAAATCGTGCAATTAAATAGAAAAAAGTGGGGGTGGGGGTGGGCGTTGAGGTGGAGGGGGCAATTACTATCAAGCCTTGACGCATATTATTATATGAACCACGTGTAAATCAAAATTTCAATATAGACAGAATCGGATAATAAACATCCCCACGTAAAACAATCTTTTGGCCAACGAAACGAAACAAACAACAAAAGAATAATTATGGAGAAAGACAAAGACGTTTTAAGTTTAAGAACAATCTTTCTGTATGAATTAAGGTGAAAACTGGGGAACTCTTTTCTAAACACGACTGCACTGTTAACGCACTTTTTTATTTTTAAGTTATTATTTTAATGTTTTATTCTTAATTTTCGATATTTCATTTAACATTCTATGAGATGAGATGTTTCAGAAGCATTCTTGACATCTGCTATAGAGACCAAATCTCCAATGAACAAGTGAAAGAAAGGTTTCATCAAGCAATTGGGCAGTACGATGACATCCTGATGACTATAAAAAAAAAGCACACGCTGGAATGGTTTGCCACTTGACACGAAAACAAGGGCTCGTCAAAGAAATCTTTCAGGGCACAACGAGAGGAGGGAGAGGATGAGGAAGACGGTGAAGAAGATGGGAGGATGACATCAAAGAGTTGACGGGACTAAAACTGGGCGATGCTGTGCGTAGTGCAGAAAACATAGAGAAATGGAGAAGGATAGTTTTCGTGTCATCTGTGGCGCCCCAACGTTCGAATGGCTAAGGGACATAATGATGATGATGGACATGATATATGTATATATTTAGCCAAATGTTAAACCTGTAGGGTTACACGAACAGGTATAAGAATTTAAATATAGTTCCGACAACAAAATACTTATCATGACATATAGCCCAACTGTTGCGCCCCCTTACGGGGAAATCCTAACATGACGACCTTTATCAATCGCGCTTGTTTGAAATCTTCCCTTAGAATTTCCCCACATTTTCCCTTTACACAAAAAGATAATTTGATTAGATACAGATTGACTACTTGTATCTGGTTCTATGGGAAATTGCGTTTCTTATTCTTAGTGAAGCACCAAGTCTTCATACGACCAAGTTTTTATACCACCAAGTTTTCATACCACCAAGTTTTTATACCACCAAGTTTTAATACGATCAAGTTTTCATACCACCAAGTTTTCATACCAACAAGTTTTCATACCACCAAGTTTTCATACCACCAAGTTTTCATACCACCAAGTTTTCATACCACCAAGTTTTCATACCACCAAGTTTTCATACCACCAAGTTTTCATACGACCAAGTTTTCATACCACCAAGTTTTCATACGACCTAGTTTTCATACCACCAAGTTTTCATACGACCTAGTTTTCATACCACCAAGTTTTCATACCACCAAGTTTTCATATCACCAAGTTTTCATACCACCAAGTTTTCATACGACCAAGTTTTCATACCACCAAGTTTTCATACCACCAACAGGTTCATTGAATAGATTAAGCCCATTGTTCGAAGCTACACCGTATCCATACAGCTACACACGCAGAAACGACTTGGATTTTATGGAACGTTTTTGATTTGAGGAATATATTTTATATACATAAAGAGCGGTTACCACGTGGTACTAAGTATAGAGAAGTAGAACTACATTTTGATATTATCGGTATCAGTAAGTTAGTTTGACATGAAATGCTACTCTGTGTTACTAGGGGAGTCAGTCATAGGTCATAGATTAAACTATAGATTAAAATGAATTGATCGTTTCCTGAGTTTCCTTTCACCAGCCAAACCTTAAACCCTTCACCCATACCCTCTAAAACAAAACAACAACAACAAAATCAAACACGTCACACTCATTGTAACTTATTTAGTGAATACACATTTTTTCAAGGGCCATCAATTTAATGATAGAAGTGCTGTAGATTTTAAAAATTGCTGTTGTTTTTTAGTGTGTGGAATTTTTTTTCCTCTTACGGCAATCAGTCATTAAAAAGAAAAAAAAATACTCTAATTTAAACTATGTCTGCAGGTTACTCTGGTTTTCTTGGTTCGTGGCATAACTCTGATTAAATTTTTTTTTTTTTTAATAATTTTTTTTGGGGGGGGGGGGGGGGGGGGGGGAGAAATTAATTTATTGTATGATTGTGTAGGATTGTGTATGATTGTATAGGATTGTTGTATGATTGTGTAGGATGTCCGATTGTCCGGAGTTTTTTTTTTGTTTTGTTTTGTTTCCCTGTCAAATAGAAGGGGGCGCTGTCTTTCTTTGTTTCTTCTTGTTTCACTGATGTTGTAAAAATACATTACATTTGTGGATTGTGGAGTTGTTGTGATTTTTTTAATCCATATATGTTGCGTCTCTTTAAGATTTTGTGACCGATAAAACGGACGCTGCCCATCACTCCCCACTTGCTGTACGCCCCTGTATTCCCCACATCATTTAGACTCAGGACTTCCTAAACATGAAGTGGATTAAGCGAGGGGGCCGGGAAATAATTTAGCTGGTCCTAATTACGTGTAATGAGGAGGCGTGTGAACAGGAAGTGGGACTGACAATCTGGCAGGAATTATAGACGCACACCGGGGACTGACAATCTGGTAGGAATTATGGATGCAAAGTGAAGGACACATTGTAAATATGATTTTTGTAAGCTGCTGGACTTCATTGGGGAGGCAGTCCAGGCATATTTCTCTTCTCCCCACGCCCTTCATCGTTTCTCTGCTCATCGCATCTCTCCTGGATCTTGATTCTCACTCTAGTGATATCTTTTTTTTTTAAGTTTTAACATTTTTTTTTTTTTTGGAGAGAAAGTGGGTGTATGTGGTGTAGTTGGGGGGGGGTTGCTAGATAATCAGAGTTCAAACTGTGTGTGTGTTTGTGTGTTTGTGTGTGTGTGTGTGTGTTTTTATTGTGTGTGTGTGTGTGGCCAAGATTCCAGGATGGGTCCATTTTTATTTTTTAAAAAATTATAAAGAAATCAACGTCTCATGAAAAAGGAGGTTCGTGTCGTATGCCAAACAGTTGTATTAAAATGTTCAAGCCCATAATAGATACAGTGGCCACAGTCTAAACATAGCTGCCGTAATAAATCAAGCGATCATAATCTAAGCCAAACTGTCTCGTCCTCGCATCAATCTTTATTGAAAACAAAAACTTGAATGGTGACTTGGTGGAAATGAAATGATTAAGTGTAGAGTGTTATAGGTTTTGTTGAGGGGGGGGGGGAGATTGACAACTGGTGGCCTAGTTAGATATGCAAGGTTTAAATTGCTGGCTATGCTTCAGTGATCACGCCGTAATTCGCTACGCGTTGGTCTCTGATTGACGCATGAACCGGTGTAATGAAGTTAGGAAACTTACCGAAGTTACACATGACTTGGGACC